TCCCTACAATTCAATTTAGGGAGTCTTCATTTTCCACGGTAGTAAATTTTCTAGGGAACTAGAAAGGAAGCTCCCATTCAAAGGAAATTTCTCTTAAGATACTAAATGATACTAATTTTTTGTCCATTTGAAATATGTAAGTTGTGCTATAATAAAATATCCTGTCAAGTGTAACTACTGTCAACGTAGTTGAAATTCTGGGATCAAGAAAGTATATTTAAGTTGATTTCCATCGTAACTGGTGGGGCACATTTAACTGTGAAAAAGACACATTGCACTATCACCTTTCTGTTGGGGGCACATTTAACTGTGAAAAAGACACATTGCACTATCACCTTTCTGTTGATTACATGGCCTGGGGGCTCTGCCTTCTCTCCTTACCCCTCACCCAGCTCCTATCCTCCCTGCAACAGCCCTCTACCCTGGGGGACTTGTTACTCTCTTACCCTAAATCTTCCTTTCTCTTGCAAACAAACCCACAGGCTACTGAAAGCAGACTATCCTGTTGGAAAACTTTCTTTACCACTTTTACATTTACTCTACAGATCTCGATTTCAGGGGATTCTTTCCCATCGTTAACTCATTGTTACTTGGCATAATTGAAGTGTACCAGAACTGTTAGAGCAATGGGAACCAATGCCTTGTGATGTAAAATATTCCATCATACATGCTAACTTGATTAAATTAGTGCCATTTTAGTATCTTCTTATTGAACAGAGGTAGATGCGAAGGTTTCAGGCGGCAGCCTGTGGGACTGCTGCTGGGTATGTGGGGTGCTTTGTCTGCCTCCCCGGTTTGTCTTAAATGATGACCCTTCCAAGCCATCATCTTGTCCCCATGCTCCTCCACTCCTACCTTTGACTGAAGCATGGATTATAACCCCTCCACTTCCCTCTGAGATTGGCTTTCAATGAGGAATTTAGGGCTTTCTCCGTATCTTCTCTTGCTCAGCTTTACTGAGGGGTATCTTTTCTTCTCTCCCCCTCAAGTTCCTTTTGGACCATCACCACCCAACACTTTCCATAACACTTTTTTGCTTTGGCCAGAAGCAATTAGGCAAGGCTGCAAAGTTTCTCTGACCTCCCTTGTTTAGTTTTGGAACCACACTTATTTGCTCTTCACCAGACTGGAAAATGAATATTGGGTCCTCAGCCCTGCCACTTTCTGCTGTCATCATCAGCTAATGCATTGTTTTTAGCTCAGGTTTTGATAAAGAGAATTGTCACCAGGGTTACTCAGACCTGCTAGCTCTCAGAGTTCTTGGTGGTTAAATTTGGAGAAAGGCCACATGAAGACACTCATAAGCACACATGATCCCTCTGAAATTTTTTTCTGTAATGATTTTGCTTTTAAAAATTGAAGAAGTTTTAAACAGGGCTGTCATTTGGTCATCCTTGCAATCCACTGGGGTCTAGTTTCGAATGTGACAGCTGGAACAAAACCTTGATCCGGTACATATTTTGGTTTTGGTGTGGAGGTTGCTTCTGAAGATCCTCAGCAGGGATTAAGACCTCGGTGTGCACAACAGACCCCTGAAACTGGCGGGCTTGACCTCCCGGCAAACTGCTTCGTTTTTCCACTTCCTGTTCAGGTCCACTAAATGCTGAAATGTGGATGCATACAGAAATAAATGCAGTTCATGATGTACTGAAGTTTTGTTTTTTTAATTTGGTATTTGTGTAAATCCACCTTCTGAAGCAGCAACTATCAAGTCTGAAAAGCAATTATGTTTCCATTAATGTTTTTCTGGGGAAAAGTTAGTTCTAAGCATTTAACATCCTGTAAGTGAAGTTTAACATAACAGTATTCCATAAGCAGTCTTTTTTATTGTCTATTGCCAAATTTTAAGTGTACTTTTTAAAAAAAATCTAAGTTAGAAACTAATAATTAACAGAGGATCTCTACAGGGGCAGAAATATCATGTCTGGTTACACTGTTCTCAGACAATCATTAAAACTTAGCATTGGCATTAAAGAGGAATACTCTCGAGTTGCTGCTCCTCAAGGAGCAGGTACTCATTCTGCATTAACATAAGCTGATTTTATTAAGAAAAAACACTTAGATATAAGTTCATCAGGATGGCCTTCCAATCTCATGCCTTCAGGTCATACTGACCACATGAATGGTACTTTGATAGTTGAATACAAAGGAGCCACTAAAAGCCTCTGTTCATAATTATCACCTCCAGTTCAAGTCACTATTCTCCTGCTACATGGACCTAAATCAAGAATCACAGCAAATATCTTTCCTCAATTTGCCCTCTTTTCCTTTATCTTCCTTTCTCTTGCAAACAAATCCACAAGCTACTGAAAGCAGACTGTTAAGTATGTTGGAAAGCTTTCCTTACTAATTTTACACTTACTCTACAGATCTTGATTTCTGGAGATTTTACAATAGAGAACTCATTAAGTTATGTGGCATAATCTAAGTGTACCAGAACTGTTAGAGCAATGGGAACCAATGCCTTGTGATGTGAAGCATTTCAAAAATACTCACTTGATTAAATTAATTCCATTTTAGTGTCCTCTTATTGAACATACTTAGTTCTCTATTACTGAAGTCAGATTACATGACAAGTGAGTTCTTTAATTTCATGGAAACTCTGAATACATCACTGGCTTATCAAATAAGAAATTTTCACATATCTATAGGCCCAAAGCCTTTTGTATAAGGCTGATATAGTCTGGCTCTGTGTCTCCACTCCAAACTCATCTTGAATTGCAATCCCCATAATCCTCATGTGTTGAGGGAGGCACATGGTGGGAGGGAGGGATGGTTTCCCTCATGCTGTTCTCATGGTAGTGGGTAAGTTCTCACAAGATCTCATGGTTTTGTAAGTGTCCACAGGTTCTTCCTCCCTCTTCTCTCTCTCGCCTGCACCATGTAAGACATGCCTGCTTCCCCTTCCACCATGATTGTAAGTTTCCTGAGGCCTCCCCAGCAATGCAGAAGTGTAATTAATTAAACCTCTTTCCTTTATAGATTACCGAGTCTGGGGCAGTTCTTTATAGCAGTGTGAAAACCAATGAATACCAAGGCCAAGTTTTGCTGGCCTTTTTTAAACAAAAATTTAAAATACAACCTGGCATTCAATTTAATCTGCTTATTGTTCACTGACTTCCATTCATATTGATAAAATAAAGACAACTATAGAAAGCAAAAATTCCCAGTCTAGTTAAAAAAAGAAAACTGAAGCTATTTGAATAAGCTTTGCCAACAGTCTTAAGAATCAGTCTGTTTAGTAAATGGTGTATGTAAACGTGTATGTAAACAAATAATTAAGATGCCATTAAACTACAAGTTGGTAAACAGGCATTACCTATTTAATAAGTACAATATATACATAGAATCCTCTTGAAAAGCTTCATTTTATACAGAAATATATTTACAAAATGAACAATGTAATCAAATTAAAGATTATCTGTATAATACACACACACACACACACACACACACACACACACACACACACACGTATGTCCTCTGGAAGTTAAACAAGTTTCATCATTGCAGTCAAAATGGATAGCCACTTGCATTTTTAAAAAAGAATTCCATTCCAGAAGAAAAATACATCTTTAATATACAATTATATTTTTAATTTATTTTCCTGAAAATTCTCCACATTTAGATTACCTTTCAATTATTTCTTTGTTCATCCTTGAAAAAGTTCAGGTTTCTATTGCCACCAACAGGTGTTAGTTAAAAATGAACAATCTTCGTGTCAAAAAAAAAAACTGCTTTAAAAAAAAAAGTTATCGAAAAATAGGCTACTGGAGTCAACATTCATAAAGCATAAATGACAATATGATTTATAAAAATATTTTCACCTGGGTAGCAGAATAATAACATTTACATTATTAACAATTCTATTTTTTTTTCTTTTACTATCTTGGTTTAAATTTGCATGTAACAATTTGTAGAATATACTGCAAAAGAAAGTTTGGAAACATATGTGACATGATTTATCTTTATGAGCACCAAATAGGCATTAATAATTTAATAAAATGGTAAAAAAAAATCTAATGCCATTTTATGGTCTTTGGATTTTTCTTTTTTCTTAAATAATAAACATCAGGGCTGGGCGCAGTGGTTCATGCCTGTAATCCCAGCACTTTGGGAGGCTGAGGCAGGCAGATCACAAGGTAAAGAGATCGAAACCATCCTGGCCAATATGGAGAAACTCCGTCTCTATTAAAAAATACAAAAATTAGCTGGGTGTAGTGGTGCGCACCTTGTAGTCCCAGCTACTCGGGAGGCTGAGGCAGGAGAATTGCATGAACCCGGGAGGTGGAGGTTGCAGTAAGCCAAGATCATGCCACTGCACTCCAGCCTGGTGCCTGGCAACAGAGCAAGACTGTCTCAAAATAAAAATAAAAATAAACACCAAATTGTGACAAAAGTTAGGAAATGTGCAGAACCACCAAGAAAACAATAATTTGCTCTCAGCGTACTTTTGAAAGGATTTTCCAAAGCCTCATTTAAGAGTGAGATTTCTGGGCCCCTTGCACAAATAGATAAACCCTCTTCTCAGCCTAGTTACAAAGGGCTGAGGAGCCACAGAGGCCCAAGACCTGCTCTGATTGTCTTCCAGCTATTTTCTTTCCTTTTTTTTTTTTTTTTTTTTTTTTGAGACATGGTCTCACTCTGTTACCCAAGCTGGAGTATAGTGGCAATCATAGCTCACTGCAAGCCTCAACCTCCCAAACTCAGATGATCCTCCCAACTCAGCCTCCTGGGTAGCTGAGACCACAGGTATGTATCACTGCATCGGCTAATTTTTTGTATCTTTTGTAGACATGGGGTTTTGCCATGTTGCCCAGGCTGGTCTCAAACTCCTGGGCTCAAGCAATCCTCCCACTTCAGCCTCCCAAAGTGCTGATATTGCAGGTGTGAGCCACCACACCTGGTCCCAGCTATCTTCATTAGACCATAAGCTCCATGAGGATGGAAATGCCCTGTCTGGTCTGCTCATTAGTATAAACACAATACCCTGTATGGTACCAATATAATAGTACAGGTTTTCAATAAATGTGTTTATTAAATAAATAAATAACATGTTGGTAGCCTGATAAAATTGGATTTCAAGCTACATCATTTTAAATGGTTATGAAGATAGAAAGTAAAAACAAAAAGCCACCATGAAAGTTCAAATTCAGTCTTCTGCCCAAATCTACATTTTAAGACCCTTAAAAATGAACAGACTAATGTCTGAAGTGGTATGGGGAAAAGGGAATCACAGCAAGTATTCACTTCAAAATTAAAACTATTGAAGTGTATACATACACAGAAAAAATCATTTCCAGCTCAAAGAAACCAAAATATTGCTAACTAACCAAAACAGCCTTTGATATGTACAACTAATAATGAACATATAAAACAAACCTCCCCCCCGACCAGGTCTCAGATTTATCCAGATGATTTTCCTTTTTCAGACAGCCCATTCTTCTCGCCATATATTTAGACAGAAGGCCCTCTAAATCCTCACATCAGGAGCTGTCTGTGAATCAGTACAGAGATAAGTATCTCTGATCTATGTAGATTACTTTGCTCAGTCCTGATCCATATACAAAAGCACACAGTAGACACTGAAGAACAAAAGGAAACTAAAGCATTTTCTTCAAAAAATGTCCATAGTTTCTAACATTTAAAGGGAAAAAGGTAATACGGTCAAAATATTGTTTGTAGATGGTAGCACAAATATTAATACTGGAATGTGCATTTTTGTTTAAACTGTATATATATTTTAAAGTGTATAGGCATATGACACTATGGATCTGATCACAATTTGGTCTCCATTACACATTTTGTGCCTTGGGGGAAAAAAACAAATATTGTACTTTATGAACCTGTATCATAAGAAACTAGAAAAATTTAGTTACACTGCCTACTCAAAGCAGTCTTCAGGAGTATTAAGTAGTATGTCTAGAAACAAGTGGTAAAATAATTCAGATTTGATTGCACTTTCCCTCATTTTGATAAATTATTATTGGTTAAAAAAAAAGACACATTATGTTAAGATTAATACTTTTTAGAACTATTCTAAAAATAAAACATCTTTGAACATATATTTTTATTTTGAAGTGAAAAGATACTGGTTTTGGGATAACATCTCACTCAATATATAGGAAAAAAATTCATTAAATAATCTAATCCTTAGTAATTATCTTTTTAAACAATGCTAAGTTGATTTAAAAATGTTAAAACACATTAAAATGATATTGCCACCATGAGCCCAACTTTTAGAGCCCATACAATTCTTCACAGGCTTTTAATCCATCATCTCAAAACTTAATTCCCTTAGTGGGAGAAAAACGAAAGCAAAAATCTAAACCAAACAAGGCTTGCTGCAATATCTGCACAAGAGCCAAAGTATCTTATTATAGTAATGATCTGAAAATAAAATATGAAAAATCATACTCAGAAATTATAAGTGAGAAATATTAAGGGATGAGAAAAAATTCAATGACGTAGAAATATTGATACTATAGCAACGCTTGAGTGTATTTCTTAAATATTGTAAAAAATCCAACAAGACAGAAAAATTTGGCTTTAAAATTAAGTTCCTTTGGTTACAGAGATATATTTATTTTAGGTATGTGTGAGGTCTTTTAAGAGACAGGGTCTTGTTCTGTTGCTCATGTTGGAGTGCAGTGGCATGACCACGGCTCACCTGTAGCCTTGACCTCCTGGGCTCAAGTGATCTTACCACCTCAGCCTCCCACGTAACTGGAACTACAGGCATGCATCACCAAGCCTGGATACTTTTTAAAAATTTCTTTGTAGAGATGAGGGTCTTGCTATGTTGCCCAGGCTGTTCTTAAACTCCTGGCCTCAAGTGCTCTTTCTGCCTTGGCCTCCCCAAGTGGTGGGATTACAGGTGTGAGCTATCTCATCTGGCCGACTTTATGTTTCAAATAAATATATTGAAACATCACATTTGGGGGACCTGTATGGTCACTCCATTATAATACATAAGTAATATATCAATGGCCAAAAATGGTGCTCAAATGAAATAGTTAATAGCGCCATATGCTGGTTTCTCTTAGAAAATGGTTCTTCATAAATATTTATCTTTACACAGTATCAGTAAAACTAAAGCATTTCAGTTTCAAAGAACTATTCACCTCTCTGTTCTAATGATTGAATCCATTTCACAATTTAAAATATAAGTAAATGCCACAGGAATTTTCTAAATTAATATATAATTTAAAATAATATTTTAAGTAATTAAAAACTTTAAAAATTCAACCATTAACTCAAACAACCAGAATCTGAAAAAACATACCCCAAATAGGTAAGAAAACCTGACAGAGGCAAACAATGCCTGATCATTGCTAGTTACCAACAGCTAGTTTTCCTATCAAGTTCAGCTTTCATTAAAATTGAAATTAAAAGATTTAAGATTTCATATGCATCCCTAAAACTCACTCAGTGTTTTGCTAGAATGCAAAACAAAAATTTTTATCATTTTTTTTAGTTGTCTTGATGTTGGACAAATAGCATATTACTGAATGCTTACCACCTGTCTTTTCATGAATAATTTTTAAAAGGTGAGTCATTTTTGACATATGTTTTAAAGGGAAGAAATACGAACAAAGGGTTTTATAAAAGCCCTTGTAATGTTCAACACTTCATATGAATATAAGCAAATTAAGTTGTTGAGATTCAATGACAGGCTGTTATATTGCACCATACAAAAACAAATTTCATCAAAGCTTTCAGTCTTACAATATATACAGAAACATTCATATTGTAAAAGGATACTTTCGTGTACAGATGAAACAAAACAAATTTTTACTGGCTGAAACATAAAGTGGAAGAGAGTTTCCAACAATAGTGGTCAGTGGCATCTACTCCTGTGTGAATTGTCTGTCTACTGAGCAAGAGGCTTGTATTAGGTTTTCTTTGTCCTCTGTTCCAGTTCATGCTGGTGCTTAATAAGACGTTCTATTTCTGTTCCAAGTGTCTGCAGATTTTCCTTTAATAATTGGGGTGAGGGAAAAGAAAGAGAAAAACAAAATGGTTAAGTATAATAAATAAAACATTCAGTTTGAACTATTTTTTGCCTAAATTTTGAAATTCAAAGAGTGGTTAGTCTAAATGCTATGTCAGATAAACCTGGGACACAGCAGTTTTCAGTACAGTACTCCCAGCCATTTCAAAGTAACACTCAAACTTCCTACTGAAGCTACAGCAATTTTTAATGAATAAAATGATTACTATTGATTTAAAAATTATTTTTAAATTCATTACTAATTTTCAAGGCCCACCCACAGCAAAAATAAAATATTTGGGTCAGATAATAACTACAAAAAAAAAAAAAAGCTGGAAAATAAATTAGAAATGCCATAATCTTAAAACATTATTTCAGAAATTAAAACTAATTATATGTCAAAGCCCATCCAATGCAAAGGTAATGACTCATCTTAGTGTCTATAAAATAGCAAAATTAATTTTTGCTATTTTTCATCTTTCCTCACTAATATAAAAAACTATACTTTTCAAAAAGAGGAAATCATGAAACTTCATCTCTGGGCAGAATGACCACCTCGCATTACAGAAACAGCCCATCTAATTGCTAGATCAGACTAAGAAACAGGTACTGTTTTGCTATGTTTACTGGTTGGTAAGTGAATGAGAAATACAAATACCTTCAAAGTAATATTTTTTAGTAATGTATCCTCCAAAACAGCCTGTAATTTTCGGTTGATCTCCAAAGACAGCTCCAGTGTTAATCCACTGTCTGCTGGATGGGATGTATATAAAGATGCCATGATGCCACCTCGTCTACTTAAATGAACTTTGTTAAAATCAGATGCCTCTGAAGAAAGTGTGCCTGATTCTTCCCGTAAAATATAACTTTGAATTATTCTGCAAAACAAAATGATAGTATCAGTTGTGTACTTGTAGAATTAAAAGGAATCTGCAGAAGTCAACTAATCATGAAGACAAGCATAAAATAAATATTAGGTTAATAACCTAACTGTATTAGAAAAGAATTCTCCTTTCCTAACATGGTTTCTTAAACTACCTCATTTTTGTTCTATTGTAGCATTCAGAGTAAAAACATATAAACATTGCTTTTCTATCTCTTTCCTTATTAATCAAAATTTGAGATTTTGTGTTTTTGTTTCTAAAGAGACAAGGTCTCCTCCTTCTGTCACCCAGGCTGGAGTGCAGTGGCACAAACATAGCTTACTGCAGCCTCCACTGCATGGGCTCAATCAAACCTCCTGCCTCAGCTTTCCAAGCAGCTAGAACCACAGATGTGTACCACCATGCCTGAATAATTTTTTTTTTTTTTTTTTGAAATGGGGTCTTGCTATGTTGCTTAGGCTGGTTGACCTCCTGGCCTCAAGCAATCCTCCTGCCTTGGCCTTCCAAAGTGCTGGGATTATAGGTGTAAGCCACCATACCTGGCTGAGCAATTTCTTTATTGCTCCAATTTCTGTTAATTTTTTTCTGTTTTCTATTATTAGACTTAGAACTTGCTGTATTTTATGCTCTTTCTTTTAATAGTCACAAACAAACTTTCCTATAAGTCTAAAGTTATTTCAAAATCAAAATTAAAAAGTTCCTGAAAACGGCCTACAATAGAAAAACACTTTTATTTACATAAACACAGTAGTTGTGAGAGGAACGTGGCGCAGCACATTCCCCAGAGTTTGGATCTCTAGCTCTAGGTCTGCCACTCAGGGGATGAATGGTGACCCCGGAACATTTAGTGATTTGACCTGAGCCTCAGTTATCTGTAAAATTAGAGAACTCTCTCACTGAGTGGTTGTAAGGAATCAATGAGATATTGCTAAGCCACAGGCACAGTACCTTGTACTACTAGGTACTCAATAAATTATCCCACTATGCCCTATCCAACAGGAAAAAAAATGCACAACTCCATTATTTCTCTTAGAACCACAGTCATAAAAATAAAAAGCTAAGTAAAGCATTATCTTTTTAACATCTAAAGTTGTTTAAGTTATCTTAAAAATATTAACATCGACTGAACTCTCTATCACCTTTCCTTAAAGACTTGTGTTTTATTTCATCTTAGTATTCCCAAAACCTAGAACATAATAGGTGATCATAAAAGACTGGGAATTGAATAACTACAATTATTTTTTGAAAGATAGGCTCTTGATACGACTAATTTTGAAAACAGTAACTTTGCCATATGAGTAACGTTATTTTGAAGATTATGCTACCATAATAACACGTACTTCGTTTTTTTCCTAATTTCTTCCACCAGTTGTTTGATGTGGTCCTCCATAAATTCTATCTTTTCATTTTTCCGGGCATGTGCTTTTTGCAGCCTAACTATCCTCTCAATCAACATGGTCTTATCTACTTGTGGAAAGTTATCCACAGCTACTGAGGACCCAGTATTTTCTGGAGATCGATCTTCTGCACTGCTTCGAGCATTCAGGGACCCTGAAGACAAAAAAATCAGTTTAGATACTATGCTTAATCTAACATAATCTCTCATCTATTATTTATTCCAGCATCACCTTCAAATATTCACTCTAACCGAGTTGGACACAGAAGACAACACAGGTCATACCTAGCCTCGGTTCTTCTTTCTGAATATACTGGTGAGAGAGGTACAAACAGGTGTATACTGTATTTCTCAGGAAGTGGTAACAGAGAAACAAAGATCTCAAAAAGAATAACAAGTCTAACGTGAAACCAAAATTAAACTATAAGAGAATAGAACAAAGCAGAGAGGAGGAGGAAGGGAAGAGAGGAACAGAAGTATGAAAGGAGACAGAAAAAGAGAGGTTACAATATAGTGGGTTTAGCTCTGAGGCCAGACTGCCTAAGTTCAAATACTACTCCACTTACTGGCTGTATGACTTTAGACAAGGTATTGAATTTTCTGTGCCTTGGTTATGTCATCTTAAAATAGCAATAATGACATTATTTACCTCACAAGATTGTTATCCTCATTTAAATGAATATATGTGACACGCTTAGGAAGGGGCATATAGTAAGCACTATGCAGTGTTAGGTATTACTTTTACCAATATAAATGAGAAGAATTTGATCCTCTTTACCCTACAAAGATTAAGATTAGTTTTTTTACAATCCCATTTTATAGCTTTAAGTAATATATCTTATCTAATGTTATATAACAAATAAATGGCAGAGCTGGGATCTAAATACTTACCTATAATTTCAAATCCATATTCTTTCTACTACATATTTTTTCCCACTACTGTAATAGCTGATGATAGTTTTCTCCTAATGCGCAACCTCTGGGGGTAATATGGTGTAGTAGCAAGCAAGGACTCTGGAGTCCGAGTTCTCATTGTGGATTTTGGGTGAATCATGTAGCCTCTCTGAATCTTGGTTTCCTCATCTGTTAAATGGGAATTATAATACCTACCTCACATGACTTTTCTGCAGAATAAATGGTATGTTTAAAGTGCTTAGCATGGTTCTTGGCATTCCAAAAAAGACACAAACACTGATATTTTGCTAATTGTCATTTTCACAATGGTATCAATCATAATTTTATAGACTCTGCTCATTTTTACTTTAAAACACAGGCACATCTATCATGAGAAAAACTAAAAAATTTAAAAATATATACATGTGGATATACATGTAAAAATCTGATACACAATGGTGTTGGTTCTTGGGTGTTAAAAGAAAAAGAGAGATCACTGTACACCAAATCTCTCCATATGGATTAATATCAATTTGAATTTTAAAAAATGGAAGAGTAGGCTGTTGCACAGAATAAAGCAGCAGCAGGCTAGAAAAAGGAAGGGGCTGGGCGCAGTGGCTCACACCTGTAATCCCAGAACTCTGGGAAGCCAAAGTGGGAGGATCACTTGAAGCCAGGAGTTTGAGATCAGCCTGGGCAACTTAATGAGATCTCATCTACACATACAGACACACACACAGACACACACACAGACACACACACACACACACACACACACACACACAAATAAATATTAGCCAGGCATGGTGGCATGTGCCTATAGTCCCAGCTACTTGAGAGGCTGAGGTGGGAAGACTGTGGTTGAGACTGCAGTGAGCCAAAGTCACACTACTGCACTCCAGCCTGGGTGCCAGAGTTAGGACCCTGTCTCTAAAGAAAAAAAAAAAAAAAGTAGGGAGACAGATCACATGACAAACCTGAAATCCTGGGTAACAAATAGAGCTTAAATATTTAATCAGAAATATTTTTTACAATTATATATAACCACTATTTTTTATACTTCAAAATGAAACAAAGCATATCAATACTTTTTGAAATAAAAATGCTATTTATTTATTTTTTTTTGAAGACAAGAGTCTTGCTCTGTTGCCCAGGCTGGAGTGCAATGGTGTGATCTCAGCTCACTGCAACCTCCAGCTCCAGGCAATTCTTAGTCTTGCTCTGTTGCCCAGGCTGGAGTGCAATGGTGTGATCTCAGCTCACTGCAACCACCAGCTCCAAGCAATTCTCCAGCTCCCAAGCAATTCTCAATGCCTCAGCCTCCTGAGTAGCTGGGATTACAGGTGTGAGCCACCACACACAGCTAATTTTTGTATTTTTAGTAGAGATGGGGTTTCTCCATGTTGGCCAGGCTCGAACTTCTGACCTCAGGTGATCCACTCATCTCGGCCTCCCAAAGTGCTGGGATTACAGGCGTGAGCCACTGAGCCTGGCCAAAAACATTATTTTTATATCAATCATGAAATAACAACTAGAGCCACTAATTTTTTACCTGATGAACTGGAACGACTTCCCATGCTGCTGACTTCTTTATCATAGCTTCCATTCTCAACCTGATCTAACTTTCTTCGTGCTGTAGGAAAAAGAAGTAGATTATTACTCACAATTATCAGGACCTTTTGCTCCCACCATCTCTGACTTTAATTGCTAAAATCACTGAGGCAAAAAAGGCATAGACAAGAGAAAGTTGTTGAATACATACTTTAGGCAGAGGGCTGTGTCATTCATATAAAATATCATTTGAAAATGTACAAAAGTCAAGTACAAAATATAAAGAAACACCATTATAAGTGACACTGGCATCACTTAATTACAGTGCAGTTAACTTTTTAAAGTATTGAAAAATTTAGAAGTTCCTAACAGTACCAGAAACTTCCTCCAAATTCCCCTTCAATTACATGTATACTTATATGGCAAATATCTGAATATATTCCTATTAAGTAAATGCTAAGTCCCTTTTAGCTTATTACTATATTTCACTCTATTTTAACACAAAGAAAGCAATGGGAAATAGGAGAGAATAGGAGGTTGAAATACATGTCTTATTTATTTTTGTATCCCAAGCATACAGCACAGATAGCCAACAATTGTATGAATTTTTAAATGAAAGAAATCTGGGATCTAGTTCTAGTAGTCAATTGTTGTGTTCGGGTAATTTATAACTTTTTGGGGTCTGTTTCCTGAGACCCAGATGAAGAGTTAAGTCAGAACAATTTCTGAGTCAGAGTATCTGCACGCTAGATGCCAGTAGCCTAGATGCAGCACAAAAGAAATCACAGACATGTGAAAGGAGAAGATATCAGAACTGCTGTATATATATTCCTATTTAAAGATAGATGTTCCAAAATTTCTATTTTTCATGTTTTCTAATATATATAAAAAAGTAACGTATGTTTAATTTATAAATAAACATATGTACATTGGAGAACAAATGTCTAAGCACTTTTTACTGACAGGAGTATGTGATCAAAGGTTTACATACTAACACCCCTAACATTACTTTCTCAATTCTCATTGTTTTGTGATTCAGTGAATAAATGTCCTTTAGCATACAATATATTTTTAGTATAAAAGACTATTCATGCAATTCAAGAAGTCTAGCAATTTGATTTACTAATATTAATAAAGAGAACAGACAGCCTCAATCAACGTGGTAGAACCATAAAATATATTTTTTTCCTGTAAAATCCTTAATGATCAAAAGAAACAAACATATTCACGGTCTAAGTGTGGAAGAATTTTATACCTTGCTGAAGTTGTTTGGTAAGATCCTTGATACTAGAGGCATGTTTACGTCTTTGAGTTACTAACTCATCTTTTAATTCTTCTACCTGGGTACTCAATGCTTTCACTTCTGTTTGCCTACAAGTGAGTTCAGCTTGCAGAGTTTGGACTTCCTTTTTTCGCAGTTCTTCCTCTTTAAACAACCTACTTTCCTGAATAGTAAGCAAAACAAAAACCACCAATTTGAGTATGTTTGTTTCCATTAATGCTCACAGTTTATAATCTTAAAAATCTAAGGTTCTTGATAGTGGAGATTCTTCTATTATTATTCCTTGCCAGGTTTTGTTTACTTGAGCTTTTCAAAATATAGCAAGGCAGGGGCATACAATAACGCATGTCATTCCATATGTACCAAACACCACGCGATACAGGTTGCTGAATTTTTGGACTAAAGTCTCAAATCATTTTTATAAGTAACTTGAAGACACTCTCATAAAGTATAAAAACATAAAGTACCTTTTAAAAAACATATAATGATTCTAGTTAGGATGGACACAAACCAGTTTTCTCATTTTCAAAAGTAAAATATTAAATATTCTTCATAATCATTTTAGGAAGAAATTTTATTACAAATTATAACAGTTGAGGAAAAGTTGACATTTCTTTTTTTTTTTCCTAAGACAAAGTCTTACTCTGTCACCCAGGCTGGAGTGCAGTGGCCTGATCTCAGCTCACTGCAACCTCTGCCTCCCAGGTTCAAGTGATTCTTGTGCCTCGGCCTCCCGAGCAGCTAGGATTATAGGCGCCCACCACCAAGCCCAGCTAATTTTTGTATTTTTAGTAGAGATGGGGGTTCACTATGTTGGCCAGGCTGGTCTCAAACTCCTGACCTCATGTGATCCACCCACCTCTGTCTCCCAAAAAAACTGAGATTTCCTATAGCAGTAGAAACCGTCAGAAAGTTGGTACCCAGAAAAGAGCTTAGTTCAACTACCACTACTTTTATACTGTTAGGGAAATTTAATTTGTGTTTCCTGTTGTTTTAAAGAAATGTAAATTTATACTTACCAAATTAATATTTGTCTGTTGCATTTGTTCACACTGGCTTTGTAACTGACTTTCACTACAGGAAAGTTTATCAAATTGTGACTGCAAAGAATTAGATTCAGACTGAAGCTGTGCATTCTTACTAGTGAGCCTTTCTGTAAACAGTAGTAGTTCAGATTCTCTTCTCCTGCTGCCTTCAATGTCTTTTTGCAGGTCATTAATCAAAGAATTAAGACTTTCCACTTCTTCCTTCAAATTTTCAATTTCTTGTTTACCTCTAAAAAACAAAGTTTATATTTAGGAAAAAAAAAAACCATTAAAAGACAGTAAATTAATGGCTGGGGAATTTTCATCTAGTCAAACGCTTAATAAAGGTACTTCTATTTGTCCATCCAAATATTTATAAATGCCTAATATATTCCAGGAACTAAGAGCCAGAAAGAAAAGTGAGCAAGATCAACATGGGCTCTGCTTTCAAAGAGCTTTTAGTCAAGTGGGGAAACCATATGACTGTAAAAAAAACTTTTTTTGATGATAAAAGCACAGAGTGGGTTTGCCTAAACTAGTGTTAAGTGATGCTCAAACCAATAATTAAAGCAGGAGTCAGCAATCTTTTCCTTTAAAAGATCAGATAGGGAATAAGCTTGGCTTCTGGTTCACAGGCTTTGCTGCAATTGTTCCACTCTGTCAATATACAATGAAAACTGCCACAGATACTACATGAATGAGTGCGGATGTGCTCCAAAAAATTTTCATTTACTAAAAGAGGCAGTGGGCTGGATTTGGTTTGTAAGCCATGGTTTGTTGATCCCTGACCTAAACGCAAAGGCAGATAAAGGGAACAGTATGTGCTAAGAGGTGGGAAGGGAATAAGAGGACTTCTTGTTGGTCTTAACAGATGTTAAATACTGATGAAGAGAAGGACTGTACCGTATCCCTAGCACTTAATACAGAGTTTGGCACATAGGAAACAATCCATTAACATCTGTTAAGCAGCTAAAGCTGAAATACAAGGGTGAAAAAAGGGAAGGCATAGAAGCAGCAAGGGATAGGTCACTAATCTAACAAGCCATGCTAAGGCACTGGAACTCACTAGACAATCTCTGAGGCAGTGGGAAATCAATGAACAGTTTTGAGATTTCCTTTTTAAAAAGGATTATGCTAACCATAGTTTGGAAAATAGGATATAAACAGAAAAAAACAGTTTACAAACGGTGGCAGTTTTTCAGGTGAGAACTGATAATAGCTTAGTAGTAGCAGCCGGGATGTAAAAAGTAAATGGACTTGACGATGTTACAGACTTAGCAACACTCGTACTTTGTGACTAGTTAGATGTGTGAAGGGAAGGAAGGAAGAGCCAAAGATGGCCCCCAGCCTGCTGGGCTGGACAGTCACATGGCTGCTGCGCTCATCATTTGTCCTAGGAACATGTGAGGAGAAGCATATTTATGAGCAGGACAGAGAAACCGATTTTGGACATGCCGAAGTTTGAGGTATCTTTGTGTCTGGAGCTTAGTGAAAAGGACTAAAGATAATGATTCAGAAGTCCTGCAGCATACCGTACTATAAAAAATTGCTGGGATCACCCAAAGTTACAATAAAATTAGAACAAGAGGGCTTTATGACGGAAAGAGAAGCCTGCCAAGGAGACTGAGAGACAGTTGCCAAAAAGGTGAGAGGAACATCAGCACATGATAGAAATGAAGCCAAAGGAACAAGCGTTATCAAGAAAGACAAATGAATTCAACAGTGTTAAAAGATAATAAAAATTCAAGCAAGGGTGGGTCTGAGACGTATCTACCATATGCAGAGAGGCATTAGTAATTTTTAATAACATGTTCGGTAGAAGTTAGAATGAAGTGGAGAGGTACAGAACATAGGAGGTGAGGAAATGGAGAATGAATACAAAAAATTCTATAAAGCTTGGCTGCAAATGAAAGGAGAAATATAAGCTGGCAGGGAAAAGCCATAGGAGTTCTGATATTTTTAAAAGACAACTATGTTTAAATGTAGAAAGAAAAAGAGAGTAGAGAAATAAGAGGTAAAGGATAAAGAAGAACAATCAAGACAGAACCCAAGAAGGCAGAAGAGATGAAATCCACAGAAGAGGCAGAAAGACTAATTTGATTCAGAGAGGAGTTTCTTCCATGATAACATGATTGTTTCTTCCAGGATAACAGCAGAAAATATGGCTGCAGATGCAGGCAGTTCATGGGACTGGTGGCAAAAAGTTGAGAGAACCGTCGCCTGACAGCTCCCATTTTTTTTCTGTGAAGAAGTAATCACCTGCCAAGAGTACATAGAAAGGTAAGAGGAAAAACTGAAGTGTGAAGAAAGTGGTAGGGTTTAAGATGCTACAAAGATGGTGGTTTAAGATGCTACAAAGATGGTGGAGAAGCCTCTGACCAAGGACGTACGGCAAGATTAGGTGCATTAATATTCCCAGTTGAGGTTAGTGACCATGAATTTATTAGCAGAATCAACATGGATTATGGTAAACATTTATTTAGCAACATTCAGCAGCTTAGTTATCAGTAAGGTGTGGAAAAGAAGATAATCTGGCTTCAAACTGAATCTAGATTCTGTCAGGTAATGTCACAAGTGGAGTTTACCCAAATGGTTTTAGAAGGAACCAAGGAATGTCAGCTCTGGACCTGAAGCTATACACATGCAAAGACCTAGAGCTAAATTTCCCGTTTAGAAGAAAAAGTAAGCACTGTGCATAAGTAACAGAACTTGAAGCTAAGGAATGGATAAGAAGCTCAATAAACCTATTCTGTCTTATAAATTGCCACTACCAATGTTTAAGGAATATAAACTTTGATTTTTAAAAGCCATGATGGGAACTCAAAGATAATCCAAAGAAGTTCAAATAAAGAGAAAAAATTTTAAAATTTCAGCTATTAAAATTGTAAAAATTGTTCTTATTTAATGCAATAATTGCATTTGAAAATCTTGAAGCAGAATTTAAAAGCTTGTTTATTAAAACAAACAGAAGTTACTCATTTTACCTTTGAAGCTGCTCCTGCAGCTGATCTACAATTTTCACTTTATCTAATAAATTCTGAATTTCAGCTTTTTGGCGATTAATAATTTCCTTGTATTTTGATAATTCATCTTCTGTTCTTAATCGTTCATCTTCTAGACATTTCACCTACCAAATGATCATAACCAAGTTACAAACCATGTCTTTTTGCTCCTTATAAATTATTTTATATATATAGTGGTTACATATTAATAATGTAAAAATTCTAAAGCAGCATTAATGTAAGAAAATATAATGCAAAGTTTACAGCCTTAGGTTTTAGTCACAGATTTCTTGTGATTCAGTCATGGGAGTTTTAGCACATCATTTCACTTTTTACTGAATCACCATCTCCTCATCTGAAAAAGAAGAATATATCTTCTCTACCTCAAAAAACTGGCATGAAGAACAAATAAGGTGTATGAAAAACAATTTAAAATTACTAAGTGATCTCAAATTCAGGGTGGTTAAAGGAGTATTTCTAAATAAATGAATAATACACATTCATATTCATATTAGAAGAGATACTAATCTTACAGTAACGGCTATAAACACTGAAGAGGACTTAATAGATTATTGGACATTAAAACTGTATCCATTTATTACATATGTCCAGGAAAAACATAGCCTTCCTATTATTTTCTGACATAGTTCTAAGGTCCAACTATCTTTCCAACTGACTTGTTGATGAGACTGTCCTTAGATGAGAGGCCCAAGGATAAGTTATAGATACAGCAAATGTGCTGTGAAATAGAAAGTTTGGCAAACAATTTAAAGGGACTAACAATGAAGACATTTACCTTTCAACAAAAGAAGTTGCTAGGAAATTGCTATTCTACTCTACTCCGAGTTCTTTTATTATGGAACATTTCTACATTAATCCTTTCCCCACCACTTTAAAAATCAGAATAAATCCAAAATTTAAGATATTTATAGGCTGGGCACAGTGGCTCACGCCTGTAATCCCAACACTTTGGGAAACCGAGGTGGTCAGATCACAAGGTCACAACCTCAAGAACAGACTGACCAATATGGTGAAACCTCGTCTCTTTAAAAATATATATATACTGTATACACATACACAAACACACACACACACACACACACACACACAAATTTACCCTTCCTCTGGATTAATGACTAAAGATTGAATTACCTTTGTTCTCAGTGTTCGTAACTCATCCATACCCTCCTTAAATGTTCTCTTCAGATCTTCTAGTTCCTTTATTTTGGCATGATGCATCTTTTAAAAAGTTTAAAAGAAACAGCAAATCATAATGTGCTAAACTAGATCTAAGATTTATTGCCTGCTCCTTCCAAAAGGCCTTAAAAGCAGATGGCAATAAGTTCTCACTATTTCTCTTTCTCTATTTATTATGCAACTTAGGATATATAAAGAGCAAAACTACTCACCTCTAGCTGGTCAGATTTTTCTTGCATTTGTTTTTCAAGTTCTCCTTTTGTGACTCTAAGCTTTGCATCAAGCTCATTTGATTTAATTTCTTCTGACTCCTAGTGGAAAGAAAAAGAAAAGAGTGTGACAATTTTTAACCCATTTCCCGTTTGCCCTGAGAATACTCTTGTCTCTAATCCTAATGTAACATCATATACATTTCTGTTACATTAGGATAAGAGAAAAGTTCTGTTTAGAATAACTCTAAGGACAGTTTTTATATTTTATCTTCACACTGAAAATCAGTAAGATTTGTTTCAGCCTCAAAAAGAGTGCGTTTATGTAAAATTAAATGAGTGCTGGCAGCAAGCTGCACTTTTTTTCAACATAGCAAATGGGTTAAAGTTTTATACTTTGAAAAGAAGGCATTGCAATTAGGTTTACTAATTGTGAAATACACAGTTTATGGACCTAAAATTGAAGACTGCATTGAAAGACTTTAAATATATCAATTTTGCATAAACATAATAGTTTTTATTTTTTTAAGTTATACGTTTCCTTGTACTCTTCATTCTTCTGACATTTTCTAGGGTTTTTAATTGTTTGAAAACTTCTCTTATAAAATCCATATAAGTTGCAGGTACTTTAACGCTGGAAATAACCTGCATTTTATTTAACGGCCTGTCCAACAAAGTACATTCTATATGCAGATGCAGAATACCGCACATATAGAAATTTAATGAAACAAGAGAACTGGCTGACGTGGAATCCCAGCACTTCGGGAGGCCAAGGCAGGCGAATCACAAGGTCAGGAGTTCGAGACCAGCCTGGCCAACATAGTGAAACCCCGTCTCTACTAAAAATACAAAAATTAGCCATGTGTGGTGGCAGGCGCCTGTAATCCCAGCTACTTGGGAGGCTGGTGCAGAAGAATCGCTTGAACCCAGAAAGCAGAGGTTGCAGTGATCTGAGACCGTGCAGCCCATGCAACCGAACAGGACTCCTCTTAAAAAAAAAAGAGGGGGAGGGGGAGGGGAGGGGGCGCGAGCACGCTGATATTTGGTATCATTTGATATTAATCTGTTTTAGAAGTTATGCATACCTGATATGTTTTTATCATATCCTGACAGTTTTTTCGTATCTGATCTGCTTCTTCCTTTGCTTGTGTTAACTTTGTTGTTGTTTCTTTGAGTTTATCTTTGGTTTCCTGCATCGACAAAAGACAGAGACAAAGTTGGCCGCAGTGATGTGATGAATGGTAAGAAGTGACCAGCAAGTAGGAAAGTTATTGTTCTAGCACTGTCACTAAGGGGCTGATTATTATTCCACCAAAAGTATTTTATGTTTCTGACAAAAAATTAAAATGATCTGTAGAGTTAACTAATAGCCATTAAATACAATTAAATTTGACAGTTTTTGGTATGTTACTAGAAGTTACTAACCTGATAAGATGAACCAAGTGTAAAGTTCTTTGTATACACACAGAAAAGACAATTCTTTTTAAAGAAAGCATCTATTTAAAACTGTCTTTTTTTTTTTTTTTTTTTTTTTTTTTCAAGACAGAGTCTCATTACGTCACCCAGGCTGGAGCACAGTGGTGTGATCTTGGCTCATTGCAAGCTCCACTTCCTGGGTTCAAGCAATTCTCCTGCCTCAACCTCTTGAGTAGCTGGAATTACAGGTGTGCACCACCACATCCAGCTAATTTTTGTAGTTTTAGTAGAGATGGGGTTTCGTCATGTTGGCCAGGCTGGTCTCAAACTCCTGACCTCAGGTGATCTGCCTGCCTCAGCCTCCCAAAGTAAGACTGTCTTTTTATAGACTGATGCTGCAATCTTGTTTCTCTTCCTAACCATGCTCCTAAGATGGCAACTCCGAAAGTTTTCAGGGACTACCCTTATTCAATCCAATTACTTCCTGTTTTTTTTTACTTATTTGCTCCAGTTCTGACCACCCCTGACTCTTTGAATATCCTTCCTTTGTTTCCATTACAAGACAATATTCTCCTTCTCTTTCTGCCCTCTTCATTATTCCCTGACTGGCTTCTACTTCCTGTGGTGATTTTCCAAGATACAGACTGGCCATGCAGCTCTATCTTCATAATTCTTTACCAGCAAACTGATCCACGGTTCGGTTATCATGTGGATTTCAAATGGGACTTAGGTTATCATCTCCTCTCAGCAGCTTCCTTTCAGAAAAAGGTAGATGCTGCTACTCTGCTTTTCCACAGATTTAATTCAGGCATGCCCTGGATTCTAATGATCAACACATTATACCACACTTACATATTCCCCTAATATAGCATATAGCTTCTTAACAGCAATTAACTCAGTATTTGTTACATATTAAATGTCTGACTAATATCTGTTGAGTTAATAAAGGAATATCTAATATAAGCTTCTAGTTAGGTTGGGCTCCCCATATACCCAATACTCACCTCCCTTTGTTCCTTTCTTTCCTGCTGTTCCTCCACTTGGAATGCCTTTCCCTGTATCTCTTGAACCATCTACAGTGCATCAATAGACCAGGTGCAGCGCTCACACCTGTAATCCCAGCACTTTGGGAGGCCAAGGCAGATGGATCACCTGAGGTCATGAGTTCAAGACCAGCCTGGCCAACATGGCAAAACCCCATCTCTACTAAAAATACAAAAATTAGCTAGGTGTGGTGGGGCACGCCTATAATTTCAGCTACTCGAGAGGCTGAGGCAGAAGAATAGCTTGAACCCAAGAGGCAGAGGCAGGAGAATAGCTTAAACCCAGGAGGCAGAAGTTGCAGTGAGCCAAGATCACAGCACTGCACTCCAGCCTGGGTGACAGAGCAAAACTCCACCTCGAAAAAAAAAAAAAAGAAAAGAAACAAAAATAGCTTTTTACATGCCATAAAAAAACCTACCATATAATTACTGAAAGTTATATATTTTCAGTTCCTAGTCTTTAATAATAATTTGACTTGTATTAAAACTTAGTACCACTTTTAAAATATAGGCAATTATTTACTTTTTCAAATACTGACTTTTGAAATACTAGACTCAATGGACAGGGAGAGGCTGGGAAGGAGAAAGAGAGACAGAGAGAGAAAGAGTTTTATATATATTTTTCTACTACTATTATTATTGATAATTATTAGTTATTACTAAAAAGAGCCTAGTACATAGTAAGCACTCACTCCATTCACTCAAAAAATATCAATTAAGAGATTCCTAATGCCAAATAAATATTTATTAAATAAATAAGGGAAAAGTGAGAATCACATTAAATGCTTTGGTTAAGATATTGACCATGTTTCACTTATTCGTTCATTCAAGTATTCACTAGGCATCTATGCACCAGGCATTGTTCTATGCTCCGTGGACATAGTTGTATAAGAAAACCGGCATAATCTCACCTTCATGAAGCTCATATTCTAGTAATGAAGATAATAAATACAATACATAAGTAAAATATATTAGTGGTAAGTGCTAAGGAATAAAAATAAATCAAGGACATGAGAAAGTGTGGGGGAAGGTGTTGAAAGTTTAGACAGAATAGCTGGGAAAAGTCTCATTGAGAATGTGATAGGTGAGACATGCGCAAGAAGATATCCTGAAGGACTGGATATGCTAACTGAGAAATTAAGGATAAATCCAAGGCTTTTGGCCTGAGCAATTAGATGGACGGATTGTCATTTATTGAGATAGAAAAACAACGTGGGAAAGAGTACTTTTTTTTTGGGGGGGGGGACAGAGTCTTGCTCTGTCACCCAGGCTAGAGTGCAGTGCTACCATCTCGACTCACTGTAACCTCCGCCTCCCGCGTTCAAGCAATTCTTCTGCCTCAGTCTCCTGAGTAGCTGGGATTACAGGCGCGTACCACAACACTCAGCTCATTTTTGTATTTTTAGTAGAAATGGAGTTTCACCACGTTGGTCAGGCTGGTCTCAAACTCCTGATCTTGTGATCTGCCCGCCTCAGCCTCCCGAAGTGCTGGGATTACAGGTGTAAGCCACCATGTCCAGCCGAAAAGTGTACATTATTAGTTCAATTTTAGACATGTTAAGTTTAAGATGCCTTAAGTCATCCAAGATGTCAGATGTCAAGTAAGCAGCTAAATACACGAATCTGGAGTTTTGGGTGGAAGTTATAAATCGAGAAGTCACTAGCAGATAGTTTTCTACTGCTATGTTTTCAAGTATACTAATCTTATCCTCTGCAGTTCCTAATCTGCTGTTATTTCCATCCAGTGTATTTTTCATCTCAGACATTACGTCAATCTGGTTTTTTTCTCTGTCTCTCCTTATCATATGCAAGCTTTTGTCTATCTCCTTGAACATATGGAATGTATTTATAATAGCTGCTTTAACATTATTGTCTCATTGTCTACTAATTCTACTATCTATGTTATTTCTCAATCTTCTTTTTTAAGACACAGGACAGGATCTTGCTATGCTGCCCAGGCTGGAATGCAGTGGCATGATCATAACTTCAACTCCTGGACTCAAGTGATCCTCTCACCTCAACCTCCCAAGTGGCTAGGATTACAGGTATACACTACCACACCTGGCTAATTTTTAAAGTTATTTTTGTAGAGATGCGGACCTCACTATATTGCTCAGACTGGTCTCAAAACAATCAGCCTCAAGTAATCCTTCCACCTCAGCCTCCCAAGTGCTAGAATTACAGGTGTGAAAAACCACGCCTAGATCTGTTCCTATTGATCTAGTTTTCCTTTATTCTCATTATGAGTTCCATTTTCCTGCCTCTTTGCATGCCTGGTAATTTTTGATTGGATGCCAAACAGAGTAAATTTTATGCTCTTGGATGCTGGTTTTTTGAAGTTATTTAAGTATTTTGGGACTTTGTTTTGGGACATAGTAAATTTACTTGAAACAATTTATTTGAAGTTTGCTTTTAAAGTTCTATAAGGCAGATCTACAAGAGACTTAAAGGCAAATTCATTGTCACAATAAAGCAATAACCTTCTGAAGGCTGTCTGATGCAGCCCTGCCTGATGTGTGTTGAGAGGTCATTTATCTTCGGCTTGTGGAAACACAGCCCTAATTTCCTAGCCTTGTGGGAGTTCTACGGATTGTTGCCCCTATTCCTTTCCCCTCCTCTGTAGTTTCCTCTCTTAACACACACACCCACATAAGCACACACTCATGTAGCTGAAGACTTAAAGGGAACTCACTGCGGACTGTTGTATTTTTCTCTTTTCTGGGACTCTGGCTTAGTTCCCTGTATCTTAAACTGTCTCAATTCAGGTAGGCTGCTGGGCTGTTTTAGGTTCTTCTCCTTATTCTGCAGCCTGGAACTGTCCAGGAATACTTCTTTTTTTCCCCTTTACTCAGAGATTTCTGTCCTATGCTGCCTGTTATCTCAAGTCTGAAAGGCTTCATTTCATATACTTTGTCTTTTGTTTTTAAGGTAGAAGGGTAAATCTGGACCTTGTTAATCTATAATGCAATATAGTCAACAGAATGTAGTTATAGAACAGTATAGTTATAGAACAGCATAGAATATAGTTTTACTAAGTCAGATAAAATGGCCAAGCAAATAAAATGCCTGCTCTAGCTTTTAATAAGTGGGCCTTCTGAGTAAACAAACCATTTAAGAATGATACTATCACTGACAACATGGCAGCCTTGGGAGAAGAACTTATTAAGCAACAGTCTTGCTTCGGGTAAGCTAGTGTAGAGAACATATCATAAAATATACCAAGCCCCGGTCACATATTAGGCCTGTAACATATTACCATTGACAGCCTCCTGCTGGTCTAGCTACTGAGTTGATATCCAAGACTATTCTTCTAGCTTTCTCTGAAGAGGTAATGTCTGGCAAGCACTCAGCATAGCCAAACCATGGGAGCCAAAGAACAACAGCCACATCTATTGCTAGCCGTATGTATGTTCAAGTGAGATGATCTTATCCTGGTATCAGGTAGGTGAATAAGTAGCAACCAGGTAGGTAAACAAGTCGATGAGGTACACTGGGAGAAACTCATCTTTATTCACTGTACTCAAAATAAAAGGTTTCTGTTTTTAGAGGCTAGGTGTTAAAAATGCATTTTCAGTTAAATCCCAAAAGAATTTAGAGAAGGAAACAAATAAATTGTTTCTCTTGTGTAGTCTGATGATCTGGGTAGCCAGTCCACCTACTCTTAAGTTCTGGTAATATGCACTGGGGGTCTGACCAGAAACTACTGAACACAATGGATCCAGTAACCCACAGGACTGTAGTATTATTAGTACCTAAGACTTAGTAGGCAAGAACCAGAAACTAGAAAGGAAGTGTGCCTCAAGAAAAACTAAGTGTCTCAAGAGACAGCCTAAACTAACCACATGAGTATTAAATCTTGTATTCTTTTATCCAGAGACTCTTTCCAACATCCAGTAGGTAAATACATAAAACAAGTAACCAGGAGCCCATCTTGGACACTCTGAAAGTTTAATGACTGTGTCTCCTAAGTAGATAGCCTCCAAGTTATCTAATACAGTGTTATGCACAAAGCTTGCTGGTTAATAAATGCTTTTGTTAAAAAGAACTAGTGAATTTCTACATACCAAGTCAATATGCCTGCTATTTTCATTTTCCAGCAATCTGTACCATGTAACCGTACAGAAGTCAGCCTTAAACCACTTCTCTAACTTATTTAGAGTATTTGGTTTCATCGGTGCTCAAAGCTGCCATTAAGAATCTCTTAAACAGATCTGTAACAGTTTTTTTTTTTTTCATCCACAGTGCTAGTATTCTAACAGCTTTCAGGATACTGTCTCTTAGCACTCTAGATGAAGATGAGGAAAGTACCACAGATACCAGATATGACCAAGTATTACGTTCTGATCTTGAAGCAACTCAGGCAGTTGGGAATCTTTACTGCTTTTATAAACTTGGAATTTAAATTCCTCATTCTGTAACTCAAAGTAAAGGGAAAATTTAAATGGCTTAGCCCTGTTGAGCTCCAGGGAGTGTTGCCCCCTTCTTTTTTTTTTTTTTTTTTTTTCTTTTTTTGACATAAGAACAGTTCTATTTTAATCATTTAACACTTGTGTAGTATTCAATTTTGAGACTGAAATACTTGTTTCCCTTTTGACTGATTAGGAAACAGTCTGAGTTGGCAGAAGTGAATCCTCACATTATTCAGCTAATGACAGACAGAATCCTAAAAAACCTGATTCCAGCTTCCACCTGTACCCCACTATGCAAAGCAAAACCTTTCTTCATTTTAATGCTATACACGTATAAGGACCATATAATCTGGATTTACTAACTTTAGGTACCAATAACTTAAAAGATAGGAAAAGGTATCATATTATAGAGATTTAAAAACTGATTATACACCTGGGCGTGGTGGCTTGTGCCTGTAATCCCAGCACTTTGGGAGGCCGAGGTGGATGAATCATGAGGTCAGGAGTTCAAGACCAGTTTGCCCAAGATGGTGAAACCCCATCTCTACTAAAAAAAAAAAAAAAAAAAAAAAAAAAAAAAAAATTAGCCAGTCATGCTGGCAGGCGCCTGTAATCCCAGCCGTTTGGGAGGCTGAGGTAGGAGAATCACTTGAACCCGGGAGGCGGAGGTTGCAGTGAGTCAACATCGCACCACTGCGCTCTACCCTGGGCAACAGGGCGAGACTCCATCCCCCTTCCCCCCCAAAAAATTGACTATACAATAAACGAAGAAAAAAGCTAACAGTGGAACAGGACAATGTTCAAATAGCAAATACAATTAACAAATGCGGCCAAAAGATCAACATTTATCTCACATCATCTTTCATGCAATTATTCAGCTTTTTTCTCCCAAACATAAAGGCAGATTAATTCAAAGTAGTCCTATTAAGAATATTTGTTTCCTTCTGAAATTAGTATTTGAATGGAAATTGTATAACTCATACTATAAACTCATAGTTTGAATGGAAATTTTATAAACTCATAGTTTCCTACTGAAGTTTAAGATTCTCCTAGATGATGCTCAAATTTAGACAACGCTAAAATTAGACATTGGGTGATTATTTCAAAGTATGAACTATAGGTAAAATCTAAAAGGACATACATAATAAAAACATTCTAATTTAAAAGACATAGTAAATATAAATGAATTAATTCACACCACCTACTTACACACAAACAAAACTAGAACAAACAACAACTTGTAGGAACCACCTCCTCCAGTTGATTTCACCACTTAACAGGAGCAAGATCTTAGGTGGGTTATTTTATTTAAGGATGACTTGAAATTTTATACTACTACCTTTACCCCCACATATGAAAAATCATCAAGAATTTTTTCTTATCAACTAGAAGTTGGGGAAAACACAGTGAGAAATAAAATGAAACAGCTTCTCACACATGTGAAGGCCCCGATCATGCCTAAATTCTTGCACTTTAACTTAAGAAGCTCCTTGCCCTGAGAGCTTCCTTTATCCCACAACACTCTACTCAGATGGGTCAGAGTATACCAGGACACTATCCCCTTTAAGCCACAGGATAAAAACACAACCTGTCTGCCGGGCACGGTGGCTCACACTTATACTCCAAAACTCTGGGAGGCTGAGGCGGGTGGATCACCTGAGGTCAGGAGTTCAAGACCACCCTGGCCAACATGGTGAAAACCTGTCTCTACTATAAATATGGAAAAAAAAAAAGTTAGCCAGGTGTGGTGGTGGGTGCCCGTAATCCTAGCTACTCAGGAGGCTGAGGCTGGAGAATCACTTGAACCCAGGACACCCTCCTCCTTTCTGACAGTTCTTTCTCTGCCTTGGTAGTTTCCTCACACACATGTGCTGAACGGTAGGTCAGCATCACACTCTAGGGGAAGCCTCCATCTCTAATCTCTAATCTACCTTTGACCACTGTCAACAGAGACTATTCCTCCTACAGTTTTCTCTGATAATGCCATATCAGAGAATACTACATAACCAAAGGTTAACAGTTCTACTGATTTAGAATTATTTAATGAAGTAATCCACGATTATGATTTTAACCAATATCATTACGCCTGTTTGTGAAAACCTGAAAATCGGTATTTCCATAAGCTTGCTCTTCTTAAGTCACAAGTCAGAGTTGTTCTTTTACTTCACATTCTATCATCTTCAGATTTTTATTACCTCTAATATCAGCTCAGTTACTGCTTAAAATTATGGCATCAGGTTTCAGCCTTTATAATTACTACATTAGTTTTTTAATAAAATTATATTTACTAGGCACAATACCAACGGACTTATATTTATAAAAAAGTTAAGGCAACTTATTCTTAAAATCTTTATACTTACATCAGAATTTATTTAAAAAATTAAAAATTTTAAAAAAACGAAAAAATTTATATTTTTGAGTATAAAATCTTAGCATCATTAATTTTTTTAAATTTCTAGATTACATTCAAATTTGCTAATTCACACATTCTCCCCCATCCAATTTCTCACAATGTTATTTAAATTTTGCATATCAAAAAATGCTTAAAGAACAGGGCAAATTTGGGTGTTGTACACCAGTAATAATAAAATTTAACATCCCACCCCATTTAATATGGAAATTATGCAAGGATATATTTTTTTCATAATCACCAAATATTCAGGCCCAAACTAACTTGCAGGGGTTACTAAACCAAGCTTCATGCCTCATTAACTGTTAATGCATTTGCTCTTAAAACTCATTCTAATCATTATTCCATTGTATTACAGTACGTACCTTGTGTGAATCCATTTCAGCTTTTAATTTGTTTTGTGCCCATTTTACTTTGATGATGTGGGAATTAATGTCTTCTTTTAATTTGTCTATTTCTCTGATGAGTCTAGTCGTTTCACCTTCCTAAAATAATATCACTAGGTCATACATTTTCATTTATGGAATCAATTAATTATGTGTGTATCTTTTATATCCCCCTCAAAGTAATCAGTGCAATAACACTATAATCAAGTGCTGGCACACTATGGCCCACAGGCCATAAAACTGATTTAAAGCCCAAATGATGAGGGTAGTAAAATCCTAAATCCTAATAGACACAAAGATTATTAATATTTACATTTTAAATAATTAGTTGTGTTGCCAACACAACATACCTTTATGATTCTTACATGGCTGGCATTAAGATGAAAAACGAACTAAATTGGTTTTGTCACAATTCCTGAGAATAATGACGATAATCCTAAACTAACAGCTAATGATTAAAAATAACATTTATCATTGAAAAATAATAATGCACTGGAAATATGACCATTGAGGGGCTGCTAGTTAACTGAGAGAGTTCTGAATAGCTGGCTCAGTAACTAATCTCCTCAGACAGTATCTAAGACAGACATGTTTTTCTGTAAGAAAAATAAAAATTCTATTCTACAGTGAGTGTTACATTAAGATTATATCAAATTATACTTCTGGCTTTAAAACTATTCATATTTGACACTACTATATACATATTTTACCAAAATATAATCTTCCCTTGAGACATAAACAATTTTCTCCAACATATAGATTTTAAAAGAAAGTTTTTAGAAAGGTCAAGAAAAAGTTATCTAATAAACGACGTAAGCCAACACTTCATCTTTTCCCTAGCAAACCTTTTCTCTGCAGATAAGTAATAAAACACTGAAATTACTAAAACATTCATGGTTGTAGAAGGTAAAGTAATAAAACCAACTTTACATTTGATGTTAACCATGTTAAATTATGGTAATTTGATTAAATATGGAAAAGCAAAGAGAACAAATTTCAAATAAGGTCAACATTATTTCAAATGGCACAAGTTATACCTTAGTTTCATACAGCTGGTGCAACCGTCCTTTCTCCTGAGAAAGTTGCTTAATTTTGTTAGTGTTTTTCTCAAATTCTTTATTTGCATCTCTAAGTTTTTTCTCAAGTGTCTCTTTTTCCTTTCGAAGGTCTAAAGATTCCTTCTCACCTCTTACATACTTCATTACCATTGCTTCTTTTTCTTGGCGTGCCTCTTCACATTTCTTGTTGGCCTTGAAAAAAAAAATTACTTAGCATTAATGAAAAATATTCTTTCAAATGGAAATGTAACAAAATATATAGTATTTGTCTCTTATATTACTAATGCAGTTTTTGGTTTTTGCACAACATTCCCAGGACTTGTGCCATGAAATTTTAAAATAAAAGAAAAAATTCAAAATTATATCCCTAGTACTTGCTTTTGCTCTTTCCTGTTCCTTTTACTTTGGCTAATATGGTTGCTATTTTCCACTTAATTCCTCCAGATCCTCTTTCCCACTTTTTTTTTTTTTATCCTACCTGGTATCCCAGGACCACAACATCATGAACCCTGTTAATGAGCTCTCTTGCCCTCAGACTTCCAGTTGGGTTCAGCCAACAGAAGGCAGTAGGCAGATGCTTGGGAATGTAGGCAGAGTGAGATCTGGCTCCTCCAGACTTCCCACAGGTTGGCTGATGGTCACTCCTCTTGTCTGGTACCCTCTCTATACAACTACTCTCTCGGGTGTACTTCCTGCTCCTTGTCCAGTAGCCCTGAAATTCTGCATCTTCCCTTTTTGGGCTCCCTAAATCTTATCCACACCTTGACGAAGATTCTTTTTATTAAATTAGCTTCATAGCCAGTTTAAGTGTGCTGTCTGTTTTGTTTTCTGCCAGGACCCTGACTGTAAAGCTGACAATTTCTAAAATCTTAACTCCCTTTTGAAAATTAAGTAGCCATATGCTTACAAATGACCATTTAATTTCCTATTTATGAAAAGATTTCTGAAGCATTTTACACTTAATAAGAAATATTAATTGGATTCAGTACGAAAACTATATACTCATTTAAAATTTTCTATTTGTATGAACTAGTACTCCCTATTCTGAAATTTCACAGAATGAAAATTTCTACAAGTAGTCCTTTGAAGTAAACGCATGGTTTGCAAATATGGTGAAGCACATATTTATTTTACAAAAGATAGAAATTCAAACTTTAGGAATTTTCTTTTTTCTTTTTTTTTTTTTTTTTTTTGAGATTTTGCTCTGTTGCCCAGGTTCAAGTGATTCTCCTGCCTCAGACTCCTGAGTAGCTGGGATTACAGGTGCCCACCACCACACCCAGCTAATTTTTGTATTTTCAGTAGAGACAGGGTTTCACCATGTTGATCAGGCTGGTCTCAAAGTCCTGACCTCATGATCCACCCGCCTCGGCCTCCTGAGTAGCTGGGATTACAGGTGTGAGCCACCTTGCCCATCTGCTTTAGGAATTTTCACTATCTTTTAGTGGTAAATAAACACTGAAAATGCAACTGAATTGAAGAAGGTAACTATCGAAATAAAGTTAGGAAAAGCTTCTTTGCTCTGATGAAAAGTGGTTGACAAAAATGTTTCATAAAGCTCTGGCACTGCTGATAAGTACATCTTGTCAACACTGAGAATACTATACATATACATGTAAGTACTTTTAAAAATCTCCCCATTGGGATTTGTTTCCATTGAAATAGTCTGCTAATTTTCAAATTAAGAAAGACATTGAAGTGGGGATATGACAGGTTCCTGATGATGTAACAATGTGCTTGTAGACAAGGATTAAGAAAATTATGCTGGAATTGGCCAAGTGAAGTAGATTTTTAGTCAACTGAATATCTGTAATTAGAAAAAGTCAGTAGTTCAATGTCAACTTTAAGAGAAGCCTCATTTCATAATAATTTAATATTCAGGTAATGTATCACCTATTGGAAACAAAGTAGTACTTGTGGCCTCTGAAAGAGCTCACTATCTAGTGAGAAAGACATATAAACAAACATTGGAATATAATACGAAAAATTCTATTGGATGAATGTACAAAGTCCTTCAAAACATGAAAATACCTACATTCCCTGGGAGGAGTTGGCAGGAAGGGTAAAAGATGCTATACTTGAGCTAGGTATTGAAGGCTAAGCGGGATTCAATAGAATATAAGGGGTGAATCAAGGAAAGGAATTTAAAATGAGTGAATATCATGTGTAAACACCTAAAAGTATAAAACAGCATGACACATTTAGGGGTATCAAGTTATTTTACAGGGCTTAAATTTGGTGGGTTGGCTGGAGAGGGAAAGAAGTAGTTATTCAAACAGAAAGAGGTATAGATTAGATCCCGAAAGGAAGAAGAACTTCTGTCATGGTAATAAATTGAAGTTTTATTCTGTAGTCAACGTAAAGCCAAAGAAGAAGTTATAAATCAGAACCTCTTATTAAACGTGTGCAGCAGCATGGGAGCTTCACTGAAGTTAAGAGGTGCGGGACAGAAAACAGTAATTTAAAAAAAGACAACTATAATAGATAAGGAGAAATATTATGAGGGTCTTGCCTGGGTGCAAGGGCTCATGTCTGTAATCTCAGCACTTTGGGAGGCTGAGGTGAGAAGACTGCTTGAGCCCAGGAGTCCAAGACCAGCCTGGACAACATGGCAAAACCCCACCTCTACCAAAAAAAAAAAAAAATTAGCTGGCCATGGTGATGTGCCCCTGCAGTCCCAGCTATTCAGGAGGGCTAAGGTGGGAGGTCTCTTGAGCCCAGGAGTTTGAGGCTGCAGTGAGCCATGATTGTGCCACTGTACTCCAGCCTGGGCGACTGACCTTGTCACAAAAAAAAAAAAAAAAAAAAAAAAGGAAAATATTATGAGGGTCTTTACTATAGCAGGGAATGGTGCACCAGGTAACAGCTCAGTTACTCATGGGGTCATGCATAGATCAGCTGCAAAGGAATAACCTGGGGTGCCTATTAGAAGTTCACGTTCCTGGATCCTGCTCCAGCTAATGGCAGCACCTACCTCACAGCATCACTGGGAGTATTAAACAAGACAAAACAATAGCTGTTATTTAAACTATTACAGAAAGTCAATTTATGGCACAGATAAAGGAAGAGAGGCCAATTAAGGTCTCTGGATTTACCCACTACAAGTAAGATGCTTATCATTGACTTGGATAAAGACAAATAAAACATGAATAAAATAATCAACAGCACTCAACAGATAAAATTAACATAAAATGTATGAAGTGTAGTGTCTAGAAGTATGGCAGATAAACCCTCCTCATTCAATACACTAAAAATTTTAGACAAAAAATAACAAACATCTTTTAATATATAGTTGAGCTCACAAGAAAGTACGGGAAGTTTCCAGGGCTAAAAAATCTAAGACAAAGTAGAAATCCAGAATGGTACATTAGGGCTAAAACCTTTACCACCCTGTGATACTTACTGATATCAGGCCATGGGAGATGTGGATGGGGGAAATTCAAATCCCTGAGAATTTATAATACAGCTACATCCTCTTGTAAGTAGGGTTCAAATTCATTCTACCTATCTAGTCTATGAAGTGAAGAAACCTCAATCTGGAAAATTAATAGACGGTGAATGTGTGTGTGCACACATGAACGTGGGTAAACATATGGTAATCTATTTTTTAACAAAACTCACTGCAACAATAGGTGAAAGACAAACAGGTGTTCATTTTACTAATCTTTCACCTTTTCTTTTTTTTTTTTTTTTTTTAATGAAATGGAGTTTTGCTCTTGCTACCCAGGCTGGAGTGCAATGGCGTGATCTCGGCTCACCGCAACCTCCGCCTCCTGGGTTCAGGCAATTCTCCTGCCTCAGCCTCCTGAGTAGCTGGGATTACAGGCACGCGCCACCACGCCCAGCTAGTTTTTTGTATTTTTAGTAGAGACAGGGTTTCACCATGTTGATCAGGATGATCTCGATCTCTCGACCTCGTGATCCACCCGCCTCAGCCTCCCAAAGTGCTGAGATTACAGGTTTGAGCCACCGCGCCCGGCTCTTTCACCTTTTCTACAGGATTGAAAATGCTCAAAAAGTTGGAGGAAAAGTCAGGGGGTAAAAGGAATGATGCAGATTATTAATATTTAAATAGATCAGTCTTCCAAAATCTACTTTAATAATATCCACTTTTTAGGATTGCGACGATCAAACAAGTTAACACTTATAAAGTATTTTGAACATGGCCTTGCACACAGCTAAAATTCAGTGTATTAGCTACTATCATTAGCATCATCTACTCTCTTCATCATGAAGGAGAAAACATACATAGCAGTGAGTGTAGTATATTGGCATTTGTTTTTTAAAAGGCAGGGGAGGAAAAAAGCAATATATGCAGGCATCTATGCAACAAACATTTTTGAAAGGATACGCAGGAAACTGGCATCAGTAGTTAGTTACCTTTAGGAAGGGGTAAAATGTTTGGAAGAAGACTTTTTAAAATATTTGAATTGTTACCACGTATATCAACTACTATTTTATTTTAAATATTAAGCTTCAGAGAGTGTTTTTTAAAAAGAAAGACGCTAGTTGATTCTAATGATTGGCTGGCTATGTTTGAGCTCGCTAAAACCAGTTACTTCTTAAGCTTGTAGGCTCTCTATCTCCCTTAATTAGTACAGAAAGGTTCAGAACTGACAGTAGGAGATTTAAACATAACATTTCTAATGCAAGGGGTCAGCATGTTTTAAAGAATCATCCAAATAAAGGCTGAGGATAATATGTTTCCTAAAAGTCCTTCCAGAATGCCATCTACAGTAGCTTCAGGGTAGAAAGGGTGGGATTCATCACATTCAAATAATGTAAGCAGTGAGTTAACCCTTCAGATTTAATTCATTGTGAGGACTGGACTAATGGTTAGATACTGCGCTAGGTTTTGTGGATATAGCAATGAAGATGACAAAGACCTCATCCTTAAAGGGTTCAGGCAAGTAATAACAAAGCACTGCTTAAAATGACCTCTTCTGAGTTCATCTATACCAACACAGAAAGATTACCAAGATATATTAAGTAGAGGAAAAAAGGTCACAAAAAAGATGTATACTAATATTCCAATCAAGTAGGGGGAAAAAATATGACCATGTGTGCATAAACATGTGTGCACTTGTACATGCACATGTAAGACACATAACCAAAATACCAATAATTTAGCTATGGAACAAGAAATGGGATATAAAAGGATTGTAGGCAGGAGAAGACAACATGCAAATTAAAAAGAAATTTCACTTTTTATTCGATACACTTTCTTAATTTATTCATCTGTATGTATTTATAATGGCTTTTTTTTTTTTTTTGAGAGAGAGAGACTTTCTCTGTCTCCCAGGCTGGAGTGCTGTGGCGTGATCTTGGCTCACTGCAACTTTTGCCTCCCAGGTTCTAGTGATTCTCCTGCTTCAGTCTCCCAAGTAGCTGGGACTATAGGCATTTGCCATCATGTCTGGCTATTTTTTGTACTTTTAGTAGAGATGGAGTTTCACCATGTTAGCCAGGCTGGTCTTGAACTCCTGATCTGAGGCAATCCACCTGCCCTAGCCTCCCAAAGTGCTGGGATTACAGGCGTGAACCACCGCTCTCAGCCTAATGGTCTATTATGACATAAAATAATTACCTATTATTAATACAATACTGATGTCCAAAATAGTCTTAACAGTCTTAGCTTATTTTAACAAACAAGAGTCACCAGAGTACCAGGTTAATAATGACAACGATGTGAGAAATACCTGTTCCAACCGTTGGGCCATCTCTTTGTGCAATTGCTGAACTGCATTTTTAGCTGCAATGTCTTGAGCTACTAGTTTGTCTTTGGAAGCTTTAACTTCTTTATTAAGTTCTTCTATTCTTGATTCTAACTGTAAAGAAAATTATTTCCAAATTATTTTTATAGCTATACCACACAGACCACCAATACCACAAATATATATAAGCAAAGTAAATAAATGTAAAGAATACAATGAATATACTTCAGCTATAGAAATAAAAACTTTTAGCAATGTTTCTACATCTCACTGACATGTAGTAAAAATCTGAAGATTTGGTTAAGGTATCTGGCAATCCCTAGAATATCCACTAAGGAATAACACAGAGGGATACAGTAGTCCCGCCTTATCTGTAGCTTTACTTTCTATGGTTTCAGCAACCTTCAGTCAACCACAGTCCAAAAATATTAAATAAACACTTTCAGAAATAAACAGTTCATAAGTTTTGAATTGCATGCTATTCTGAGTATTGTGATGAAATCTTGTGCTGTCTATGTCTCACTCAGACTGTGAATCATCCCTTTGTCCAGCATGTCCGCAATGTACATACTACCTGCCAGTTAGTCACTTAGTAGCCATCTCGGTTACCAGATTGACTATAGCAGGACAACAGTGCTGTGTGCAGCAACCTTTACCCTGTAATAATAAGTTTACTTATCAATGGTACCAGAGTACAAGAATAGTGATGTTGGCAATTCACATGTGCCAAAGAGAGGCTGTAAAGTGCTTCTTTTAAGTGAAAAGGTGACTTAAAAGAAAAAAATCATACGCTGAGGTTGCTAAGATCTACGGTAAGAATGAATCTTCTATCCATGAAACTGTGAAGAAGAAAAAAGAAACTCATGCTAGTTTTGCTGTCACACCTCAAACTTCAAAAGTTATAGCTACAGTGTATACGTGCTTTGTTAAGATGGAAAAGGCCAGGCAGAGTGGCTCATGCCTGTAACCCCAAAGCTCTGGAAAGCTGAGGGAGAAGTGCCTAGGTCAGGAGTTCAAGACCAGCATGGTCAACACAGCAAGACTCGATCTCCACAAAAAATTTTAAAAATTAGCTGGTCATGGTGATGCATGCCTGTAGTTCCATCTACTCAGGAGGCTGAGGCAAGAATATTGCTAGAGCCTAGGAGTTTGAGGTGAGCTATGATCCCGCCATGGTACTCCATCCTGGTCATCAGAGTGATGAGACACTGTCTCTTTTAAAAAAAAAAAAAAAAAAAAGTGATCGCTTCTCACCCTTTTGCTAAGATCAAGTGTAAAAAAAGAAGTCGAAAAAGGCATTCATTTGTCAGGAGCAGACATAAACAGAAACATGTTTTGATTAATGGCAATCAGGTTCAGTACTATCGGCAATTTCATGCATCTACTTGGGATCTTGGAATAAATTCCCCTCAGAATCCAGCACTGTGGGAGGCTGAGGCAGGCGGATTACCTGAGGTCAGGAGTTCAAGACCAGCCTGGCCAACATGGGGAAACCCATCTCTACCAAAAATACAAAAATTATCTGGGTGTGGTGGTGGGCGCCTGTTATCCCAGCCACTTCAGAGGCCGAGGCAGAATTGCTTGAACCCAGGAGGTGGAGGTTGCAGTGAGCCGAGGTTATGTCACTGCACTCCAGCATGGGCAACAAGAGTAAAACTGTGTCTAAAAAAAAAAAAGATAAAAGGGTATCAAATCAATAACCTAAAATTCCATCTTAAGACACTGGAAAAAGAGCAAAGTAAACTGAACAAGAGGAGGAAGAAAATAAGAAATAGAATGGAAATCAATGAAATAAAGAATAGAAAAACAGAAACAAGGCTGGGTGTGGTGGCTCATGCCTATAATCCTAGCATTTTGGGAGGTTGAGGCAGGTGGATCGCTTGAGCTCAGGAGTTTGAGACCAGCCTGAGCAACATAGTGAAACCCTGTCTCCATATAAAAATACAAAAATTAGCTGGATGTGGTGCTGCATGCCTGTAGTGGGAGGCTGAGGTGGAATGATCATTTGCCTGGTAAGCAGAGATTGCAATGAGCTGAGATCATGCCACTGCACTCCAGCCTGGGTGAAAGAGCCAGATCTTGTCTCAAAAAAAAAAAAAAAAAAAAAAAAAAAAGTAAGAAAGAAAGAAAGAAAGAAAAAGAAAACCAGAGAAAATCAACAAAACCAAAAATTGGTTTTCTGACAAGATGAAGAAAACTGACAAACCTTTAGCTGAGGAAAAAAGAAAGCTGACTGAAATTACTAGAATCAAAATGAAAGAGGGACGTTACGCCGGGCGCGGTGGCTCAAGCCTGTAATCCCAGCACTTTGGGAGGCCGAGGCGGGTAGATCACGAGGTCAAGAGATTGAGACCATCCTGGTTAACATGGTGAAACCCCGTCTCTACTAAAAATACAAAAAAAATTAGCTGGGAATGGTGGCGCGTGCCTGTAATCCCAGCTACTCAGGAGGCTGAGGCAGGAGAATTGCCTGAACCCAGGAGGTGGAGGTTGTGGTGAGCAGAGATCGCGCCATTGCACTCCAGCCTGGGTAACAAAAGCGAAACTCCGCCTCAAAAAAAAAGAAAAAAAATTTTTTTTAAATTAAAAATAAAATAAAATAAAATAAACATTAAAAAGAAACAGATGAAAGAGTTTACTAAACCCAATATATCCAAAATATGATCATTCCAATATTATCACTCCACATGAAAAAAATGAGCTGTTTTGCCTTTTTTAAACTAACTCTTCTAAGTTGCGTGTGTATTTTACACTTTCAGCGCCTCTCAATTTAGGCTAGCTACCTTTGAAGTGCTCAATTGCTATATGCAGCTGGTGGATGCCATATTAAACAGTGCAGATCTAGAGATAAAATTAAGAAAGAAAAGCCTGCTATACTAATTTTCTATTTACAAGTATAAAGTTCTTGACATGCTAGCAAAAGAAAGGTGAATCCAATTTTCTCTTAAAACAAAAACAAAAACAAAAACAAAAACAAAAAACACTAATAAGCTCGTGAAAAAGAAGAGCTCTGGTTCCATTCTATCTGTTCAGTCTGAAGTTTCTGGTCACTGAGTGACCTGACTGCCAAAATATGGATTCAGCCTGTTACTGAGGCTCCCTCACACTTTACTATTCTAAGTTTGGTTTACATGTGGGGACCCTAGAGCACATAAAAATCAGGATTACGCCGGGTGCGGTGGCTCAAGCCTGTAATCCCAGCACTTTGGGAGGCCGAGGTGGGTGGATCACAAGGTCAAGAGATCGAGACCAACCTTGGTCAACAAGGTGAAACCCCGTCTCTACTAAAAATACAAAAAATTAGCTGGGCGTGGTGGTGCATGCCTGTAATCCCAGCTACTCAGGAGGCTGAGACAGGAGAATTGCCTGAACCCAGGAGGCAGAGGTTGCGGTGAGCCGAGATCGTGCCATTGCACTCCAGGCTGGGTAACAAGAGCGAAACTCCGTCTCAAAAAAAAAAAAAAAAAAAAAAATCAGGATTAAATACGCACAATTTTACCAATTCAGTCACCTTCCAATTATGCATCAAGTGAAAGCTTGTTTTACTGTTTACTGCTGCTTTCATTATATAACTTTCTGTGAAAGGTGAGACAAAATAAAATACTTTCAAGGCTAGAATGCTTCCAATACTATCCACAGAAGAAAAAGCACCTTAAAAATAAAGAACAGCTCAGCTCTGCTATTAGTCTGAATATTTACTTTGTTGATTCATGCATTAGAGGAATTCATTTAAAAAATATAAAGAGCCTGGGTACTGTGGCCCATGCCTGTAATCCCAGCACTCTGGGAGGCCAAGCCAAGGCAGGCAGATCACCTGAGGTCAGGAGTTCAAGGCCAGTCTGGTCAACACGGTGAAACTCCATCTCTATTAAAAATACAAAAATTGGCTGGGTATGGTTGGTGGCACCTGTAATCCCAGCTACTCAGAAGGCTGAGGCAGAAGAATCACTTGAATCTGGGAGGCGAAGGATGCAGTGAGCCAAAGATCGTGCCACTGCACTCCACCCTGGGTGACAAGAGCAAAACTCTGTCTAAAAGAAAAATAAAAAATTTAAAAAAGAAAGAAAAGGACAGGCTAAGAAAGCCAGTTAGCCAGATACAATCTAAAGTATGACAGCCAGTCTTCACAATATAGTTTAAAAAAAATACTAAGAATGAAACCATACTAAAATATAAACTTAAAAGCATCCTAATGCCAGACATAAACTTTTATGTTTCTATTGCTTCTTCCCTGTTGGCAAAAACAGTCTAGTTGACTGTCAAATCTTTCTGCTTATTTTGAACATAATAGAGTATGTTCTACTAAATGTAGAACATATAAGAACAAACTTACATAAAAGGAAATAAATCAGGCTATGAGTCCTACTTTGTAAAAGAGAATGCTTTAAACATCACGCCAATTGTTTGTATTTAAAATATGATTTGCCTTATAGAACTTCAACTTATACACAATTTTTCAGGAATTTTTTTCTTTTTCTTTTTTGACACAAGGTCTCACTCTGTCACCCAGGCTGGAGTACAGTGGCATGATCTCAGCTCATTGCAGCCTTAATCTCCCTGGCTCAAGTGATCCACCCACCTCAGTCTCTTGAGTAGCTGAGTTTACAGGTGCATGTCACCATATGCAGCTAATTTTGTATTTTTTTTGTACAGACAGGGTTTCACCAGGTTGCCCAGGCTGGTCTCAAATTCCTGTCCTCAAGTAATCTGCCCACTTTGGCCTCCCAAAGTGCTAGGATTTCAGGCGTGAGCTGCCACAAACAGCTGCCAGGAATGTATTTATTTTATTAATTGAAGTATGGTCCTTGAAGATTTTTTCTCTTTTTACCTGTTTAATTGTGTTCATATGCTGCTTCTCTGTTTCTGTTCTTTTTTTTAGTTCTTCTCTTAAATTGTCTTTTTCTGAACCAATGTCTACGATGAGCTCCTGATGCTTCTTATTTTCTTTAATTAACCTAAATATAAAAAGGGCAGTATATGTAAAACATAATTTGAAATGGAGATAAAATGATATGTGGAATATAATCTGTTTACGGGTTAGGGTACAGATATCTATAATTATTAATTATAATGTTAATAAATTAACACTCCTAATTCTTTTATAGTCAAACATAATACTTTATAAGAGATTCTCCAGCCAATTAGGCTATTAACTTTTCCCTAGAAATATGAATATTTCAAATCAAAATATAATCAGATGAATAAAAAGCATACCCTTCCAAATTTATACCTTCGGGTATCTCAATTATGCACCAATCCTGTCAGCATTATGTTCATATGTGGTTCAAATAAGTGGTTCTCAACCATGGGCAATACTGCCCCTCCAGGAGTTTTTTCTGAAGACATTTTTAGTTGTCGTAACAGTGGTAGGGGCTGCTACTGGCATCTAGTGGATGGAGGCCAGGGATGCTGCTAAACATCCACAATGCACAAGACAACTCCAACAACAAAGAAACCAGCCCCAAATGGCAATAGTGCTAAAGTCGAAAAGTCTTGCTTCAGATTTTAAAAATATTTAAATGATATTCTAAGAGTTACAATGTACAGTCAATATAAAACAGCAAAATAAAATGTAAGCAGTAATTTCATCTTTAATTCTCCTGGAAAAATAGAAAATCTCAAAAATTACCTGCAAAGTACTCAGAAATGTAAGATATCTAAGAAAGTTAACAGCAAGTATTGTAGGCCTAATAGCAATAGCTGTAACCTAACACTTACTGCACATTTGTTACTGGCTAAATTTAGCTTTTTTTAATTTAAAAAAGTATACTATTTCATTTAATACTCAAAATAAGTCCGAAATTATTGCCATCACTTCTGTTTTACAAGTTTAAAACAAACAAACAAACAAACAATCAAACTAGTTAGGCATGATGGCTCACACCTATAGTCCCAGGAGAAGTTCTTGATCCCAGGAGTTCCAGGCTGCAGTGAGCTACACTGAGCTCTTGCCTGAGTGACAGAATAAGACCCTTGTCTCTAAAAAAAAATACTAATAGCAAAACAAAACTGAAGGCTAAGACTTGTTTCAGCTCATATAGCTAGTAAGCAGTTGAATTTTGTTTTGGATCCAGGTATAATTCCAAAGCCCCAGGCCTTTCCACTTTCTATTCTGAAAATCACTCATTAACTCAACTAGTGCTTACTTGGCATCTTACTATTTCATGTGGGAAATATGTCAGCAAATAGTCCCTGCCCTCATGGAACTTACAATCTAGAGGATGAAATAAAAATAGATGCTAGATACGTAATAAAATGTCAGCTGGTGATTAAGTCCTATTAGAAAAATAAAGGACAACGAAAAGAGAGTGACTTGAGTTACAATTTTAGGTAAGTAGTCCAGATAGGCCTCCCTGAGAAGGTGACAGTTGAGCCTAGGAATACAGTAAGTAAACAGTCATACAAATGTTTAGGAAAAAGGCAGATGCATGCATGTTTATTCAAGCCTTTTATGGCACACTTGTTTAGATTATTTACATGAGGCATACTCAGTGTGCCACAGAAAACTACTTGAGACATTAAGAGTCCTGGCTATAGTTTACAAGTGAATAATTATGGGAGGGGAAAGTGAAGAGCAGTAAGCACTCAAATTGCTACTTATGTGCCAAATGCATATTCTGTATACAGACAACTGCTCTTAATTAAGAATTTTGGGCTGGGCACTGTGGTACATGCCTATAATCCTGGTATTTTGGGGGCCACGGTAGGTGGATTGCCTGAGCTCAGGAGTTCCAGACCAGCCTGGGCAACATCGTGAAACCCTATCTCTACAACAAAAAAAACACAAAAGTATTAGCTGAGCATCGTGATGTACACCTGTAGTCCCAGCTACTTGGGACGCTGAGGTGGAAGGACCACTCGAGCCCAGGAGGTCGAGTGTTTATACTTCTCTTTCCCCATTTTCAGGCTGCAGTGAGCTGAGATCACACCCCACCGCCCCCCTCAAAAAAAAAAAAGAATTTTGGGCCAGGTGTGGTGGCTCCTGCCTGGAGTAATTCCAGAACTTTGAGAGGCCGAGGCAGGTAAATCACTTGAATACAGAAGTTCAAGACCAGCCTGGCCAACATGGTGAAACCCCGTCTCTACTAAAAATACAAAAATTAGCCAGGTATAGTGGCAGGCACCTATAGTGTTAGCTACTCGGAAGCCTGAGGTGGGAGAACTGCTTGAAGCCGTGAGGCTGAGGTTGCAGTGAGCTGAGGTCGTGCCACTGCACTCCAGCCTGTGTGACAGAGTGCGACTTCACCTCAAAAAAAAAAAAAAAAAAAAAAAAAGTATTTTTGGTTGTAACCTTAGACAATAATATTGATGTATTCAAAAATCAAGGAACAGAAATAAAGAGAAGAATGGTGCTTGCCAGGACACAGGGGGTGAGGGAAAGGGGGAGATGCTGCAAAGCCTACAAACTTTTCAGTTATAAGATGATTAAGTTCAGGGGATCTAATACACTTCATGGTGCTAACAGTTAATAATACCATATTGTACACTTAAAATTTGTTTAAGACAGATCTTAAATGTTCTCAATGCATGCACACACACACACACACGTAACTGCAGTGACGGATGTGTTAACTAACTTGATTGTGGTAATCATTTCACAATGTAAATCAAATATATTTCAATAAAGCTAGGGAAAAAAGGAAAATGGGGGAAGAGAAGTATAAACAAAGATATTTAGAAATAGATGCATTCATGAAAATTTCAAAGAAAGTGAAAGGTAATTTTCTTCATAGAAAATTAAATGAAGGAAAAAAAAAAAATCCAGTTGTTCTAGAGCTGACCTGAATCACAAAGCGTTTTGTTTGGAATTGAAAACATTATGTATATAACCAAAGATTAACCTCGATTTAAAATAACATCTGACATTTGTATAATGCCCTAAGGTCCACAAACAGTCCCATCAGGTAAGTATTGTCACCCTCAGGTCAAAAATCTTTCAGTCAAAGAGGTTGATTTGGCCAACATAACAGAGTGGACAAATGTCAATGGGTATCTTCCAAACACCAGACATCAGAATTTCGGTTACTCTACTCATAAGAATAATCATACTCACAGGATGAAGTAAAAAAGAGAAATCCATTTTCTACTGTATTCCTAGTATTTTTAGATAAATTTAACAACTTGTAACTGGTTCATTTCTAATAACCATATTTTAAAAAGCTCCTGAGGACCTACTAACAAAGCTCAGATTTTAACTTTGCATTTGTTAGCATGTGACCTTGAACAAGTTACTTTCTCTATGTTTCAGGTAACTCATCTGTACAATGGGGATGATAACAGTACATGCCACAGAGAGTTCTTGTGAAGAATCCACGAACTAATACATGTAATATACCAGGCACATAATTATCAACATATACATGTTTACTGCTATTAGTATTAAATGTATAACATCTCATAATTTATAAGGGAAGTATGAAAGTGGTAAGAGTCCAGATCTAAGAAAAGTGGGAAGAAGCATCAGAGAGAATCTCAAGAGGAAGGCCTAAAGGAACAGGTAGAGGCTACAGGAAAACGAAAAAGCTACCCTATAAAATGCAAGAATAGCAGCAGCACTGATGGTTCAAGTACAAAAGCATATAGTTTATTCACATAATATAGTATTTTATTCACATAATATAGTATTTTAGTAAGGATATGAGTAGCAATAGCAGGTATTTGTTTTGGGGTTGTATTAAGAAAGGCTTTGGAGTCTTGAAGAGATACTTGCAAACCCAAGTTCACAGCAGCATTATTAACAATAGCCAAAAGACAGAAGGAACCCAGATGCCCATTAATGGATAAATAAACAAAATGTGGTACTGTATATACATACAAAGGAATATTACTCAGCCTTAAAAAGGAATGAAATTCCGACATGTTACAACATGGGTAAATGAGGACATTAGCCTAAGTGAAGTAGGCCAGTTGTGAAATGACAAGTACGTGATTTCACCTTCATGAGGTATCATGGTCAAACTTAGAAAGTAGAATGGTGGTTGTCAGAGGCTGAGCGCAAGTGGAACTAGCGCTGTTGTTTAACAGATACAGGTTTTCAGATTTGCAAAGTGAAAAAGTTCTGCAGATTAGTTGTCCAACAGTGTGAATATATAACAACGCTACTGAAATGTACATTTAAAAACGGTTAAGATGGTAAACTGTAAACTATCATAAAAACAGAACTAACTTCACAAATCCAAAAGAAGACTAAAAATATATTCTTATTTACTGAACAATAATCAATTCTTCTGCTCTCTAAATTTTAATTTTTTTAAACCAATAAATTTAGAATGAAGATTTTAAGAAAAAGTGTTGGAATTTTATGACTTGTCATTTCCTTTTCAGTTTCTCTTAGTTTTGACAATATTATATTTCCACATTCTTTCAAAAGTGAAAAATCTGAGTTGTCTATAAAAATTTCTAGCACATTAATACATTTGCACTATTTAACATATTAAACTTAGATATTAGAAACACTCAACATGTGCTTACATATTCAGTAACTACATATTTATTGTTCAACTACTTTGTGCATGATTCTAATGTGGAAATTAAAATGGACAAGATGATATTTTCCTTTAGAGAATTCTATCTTAATTCCCTATGGAAGAAAAAATAAACTAAAGGTATAAAAAACTTACTTTTTTATGGTACGTTCCTGCTGCAAATATTTATCTTGCACACACTTTTCAAAGAGAACTAATGCATGTTCTCCCTTATTCATTCCATTTGGTACTCGATGTTCTGCAAACCCTGTAGATAAGAGCTCAGATTCTATTTCTTCCAGCAAATCCTCTGATGTTGAAACACTCTTTATTGTAGAAAGAAGTTTCTTGGTGCAGTCTGTATCATATGGGCTTTCTGAATAAGTCTTTTCATTAGCTGATTCTGGAAATGTAGATGACCTTAATTCCACCAATATTTGTGTTACTTTCTGTTCTGTTTCATTTGTTTTTGAAACTTGTTTAGCAAAATTTCCTCTAGGAAAATTGGGTATTTGTTCAGAATTTTTTGGGCCTATGTCTGTTTTGGCATAAGAATCCTCACCTCCACCATGATCTGGAATATAAATTTCCTGGGCTTCAATTGGATTATTATGCTCATTAGGTTGACACAAAGTTTTATCAAAGTTTAGTTTGCACTCATTTTCTAATTTGCTCCTTTCATCGCCAAAAAACAAATTGCATGAGTCTTCCTTTAATTCAGATGTTTTCCCAACGTTCTTACCAGAGGACACAGAGGCTACGTGGTCTGTCTCTGACATGCTGACTGTTACCAGTTCACTTTGTACTTCAAATCTGCTCCTGATCTTCGTTTACATCTAAGAAATTGAAACACTGAAATTAAAAACCACTTTAAACCAAAACCCCATACAACCCCCATATTGCACATACTCTGTGATGTGGAATAACTACCACCACAAATTTTATCACTAATAATTCCTTTAAAAGCCTTTCCTTGAGAAAAAAAGAAAAAGGACTAGGACAGCTAACCCAAGTTGGCTAGTTACAAGCAGTTGGGCCACAGCAAAGCCTCACTGTCTCTCCTTCTTCACTTCAGTCAAACAACTTCATTAATTAATTTCAGTTGTAGTCTGGCATTGTCCAATCCTCCCCGTAAGATGTTAGGTAAGGAAAACACTAACAACTAGAAGATTATTGCTAAAGAATGCGTAGATTTCTTCAGCTCTGTAAAGAAAAAAGATTACCTCATAAATCTGTAAGAAAATACTGGAGAAATAAGCCACCAATAAAAGCACTAGAAGAGAAATCACAAACCAAGATAACGAAACAATGCACATTAATGAAGATAAAAATCTACTAAGAAGGAAAGTTAAATAATAAGACACAACTATCTATAACCCAGAGATCTAGATTTGAGCTATAATGAGGTCAGGGTGTAAAGGATCCCTGGTAGAAATTAGTTTTTCATCCAGGCAGGAATCCAGGAAGTATCATGAAAGTAACCATTTCAAACATTCTCATCAGGAAAGAAACAATGTTCAGTGCAAATAAAATGGAGTCTATCACTGCCTAGGTCAATAAAAGCAACTTTAAAAAATTAACTTGACAAAGTTAGATATATTTTTATACTGTTTATGGAGGTTACTATTCTAGCCATTTCATGAAAATTAGTCATCTTCAATTAATAAAAAAAAATGTTGACTTCTTTTGTCAAGTATCAACAAAGCATGTACAAGGTAATGAGTTACTGAAACCATGTGAGGTTAGATTATAAAGTGGGTATATCAAAGTTTTGACGGAAATAACAGAAATAATTCCAGATGACAGATATACTAATGGAAAATACCTCTAAACTAGAGATATAAACTAATGAAAAACTAATGTAGAGATATACTAAATTTTAAAAGAACAAAAACATGCATGTTTACGTCAGGCTGGGATAAAGGTGGTTATCAGAGGATGAAAAGAGAGAAGACTGGTCAGGTAGAATCCTCAGAATACTAAGCAGGAGTGAATTTTGTTAAGAACAAACCATAATAAATCACAGTAGACTTGTATACTTAATTATAATGCAGAATTTCTAGTACATATTGTGTTCTCAAATATTTGTTCAATTAAACCCTGTAAGCACAGAAATGGTAACACCAGTATTTGAGAAATATTATTCTAGGAATGTCGAAAATGGGAGGAATAAGTGTAAGAAAGGAAAAGCAGACCGGCTGATTTGTTAAATATGCTAATTTTTAGTTTAGACTGCCCTCTGGGGCATCAACTGATATAGTCATTGGCCTCAATACTCTACCTCTGTATAAATATATTTCCAAACAACCAGATTATCGTTATCTTGCTGCAGATATTTTATAATCAAGCCAAAGCCCACACTAGTATTAAAGGCTTGGTTTAGACAATACAAGTAAGTGGAATAAGTAAAACACCTTGTAAGTACTCTGTATTCTAAAATCTAAGACAAAGTAAAATAATTCTCAGAGGCACTGCCACCTACATTACCTCACACAAAGTAACTCACTTTAAGACATAACTGGTGAATGTTTTGCTGTTGAATTTAAAATCTTACCAATCTAGAAATCAATCTAAAAACAAATGAAGTGGTTTTAAACACTGTAACTACTCAAGGCTATACTAACAGAAACTGAAACCCAGAGCTGACCAAAATGTAACGAATACCAGGTTAAGAATCTAGTTACCTGGGCACAGTGGCTCAAGCCTGTAATCCCAGCACTTTGGGAGGCTGAGGCGGGTGGATCACGAGGTCAAGAGATCGAGACCATCCTGGTCAACATGGTGAAACCCCGTCTCTACTAAAAATACAAAAAGTTAGGTAGGCATGGTGGCACGTGCCTGTAATCCCAGCTACTCAGGAGGCTGAGGCAGGACAATTGCCTGAACCCAGGAGGCGGAGGTTGCGGTGAGCCGAGATCGCGCCATTGCACTCCAGCCTGGGTAACAAGAGCGAAACTCCGTCTCCAAAAAAAAAAAAAAAAAAAAAGAATCTAGTTAAAGGAAAGTAAGACCTTTAAAGGTGTGACACCCCAGCATAAAACAAGTGGGGAGAAATTTTATCAACAACTTTATGGTTCCTATCTGTGTGCCATGATTTGTCAACAGAAAAACACTAAGCAAACACTGCATTACCAGCCTCTCCCCCAGCTGTTACATTCCCCAGGATTCAGTTCCCAAGTCTTTTTCCTTCTTAGAATTCATCCAGTTAGATAACCTGAAGCAACGTGATACCTACATAATTATTTTCAGTTCTGTATCTTGACTTACAGATATCAAAATTATCTGTGTCTCCTCTTCCTCACTGTGTCTTTGTATTAAAATCTCCGACAAAATATAGGCATTTCCACTGGAGGTTCTACCATAACCTCGAACTCAAAATGGCCAAATTCAAAATCGTAATTATAACTCCTATAATTGAGTAATCCCAGTTAATCTTTTCTATTCTGTCAATGATCATTTTTCTGAGTCATCTACTTCTTCCTCTCTCTTTTGTCCTTAAATTCTTTTGAGAATTTCATGTTTCCTGCATTTCTACAGCCACTGTCCCCTACTTGCAAACAAACCCAGGCCTCCGATCATTTCACTTCATACCAGAAGCACTTGAACCGTTGGTTTCTCAATCTCACTCCATTCCTCCCTCCTGCTGTCCTTCTTGCAACTCCAAGTGATGGGGGAAGGAGGCTGAAGGAAGGACAGGTTACTCTGGACAGCCCAGGTGTGGGGCAGCACCAAGGCAGGCAATAGGTCACCCAAACCAGAGAAGAGGTTCAAGTGTGTACCACACTGGCTCTGCCAAAGGGGAACTGCCCTCTTCATGGCAAAAGGGGCCAGGGAGCCATAATACTGCCACTACAAAATCCACACATACTGAGGAAGGAGACCCAGGCATCTGGGATCAACTTCCCCTTTGACTGCCACACTGCATTTTAATAGAAGAAAAGGCTGACCGACTGGCACCTCTTGATTCACCTTCCTATAGGTGGCAGGCTTGGTCTTGGGGAAACTCTCTGGAAGGCACTGTTTTTAAAACAAGATCAAACCCGAAACCATTTCACATGTGATTTCTAAAGGTGTAAACCCAAAACCTTTTCACATGTGAATCCTAAAGCTGCAAATCTTCATATGTAATTTCTAAGGCTGCAAACCCAGGATTCTTCCATGAGTAATATCTAAAGTATAAGCCTATATAAAGGCAGAACCTTCCTTTGTTAGACGAGCTGGGTAATTTGAAACCATCCCCCGGCTCCCCACCGTAATATTAATAATAATAATAATAAACCCTTTCCTTCCCCATTCGGTGTTCAGGAACTCTGTTTCTCGCGGCCACTCCTGCTATATAATACTACCTCTCAGAGACCATCATTGAATCCAGCCAGAAGAACCACAGTGAGGCCAAGACCATCTTTTCTCTTTTTAGAGGTTCAGGTAAAATGAGAGCGCAGCCTCCACAGGCTGGTCTTCTTCTTCTAACTCCTCAGAGGCTAGAGAAAAGAGAGAGAGACCGGGCACGGTGGCTCACGCCTATAATCCCAGCACTTTTGGAGGCTCAGATGAGTGGATCACCTGAGATCAAGAGTTCAAGATCAGCCTGGCCAACATGGTGAAACCCCATCTGCACTAAAAACAAAAAAAAAATAGCTGGGCACGATGGCGAGTGTCTATAATCCCAGCTACTCAGGAGGCTGAGGAGGGAGAATTGCTTGAACCCAGGAGGTGGAGGCTGCAGCGAGCCGAGATTGTGCCACTGCACGCTAGCCTGGGTGACAGAGTGAGACTCCAGCTCAAAACAAAAGAAAAGAAAGAAGAAGGAGCACATCTTTGAGTCAAATTACACCTCTTCAAGCCAAGCAGTGGGTAACAGTTTTAACTTTTCTTCAGAGAAAACAAAGAGTGGGTGACTTCATTTTTTTTTTTTTAATGGCTGGAACCTGCCTTAATTTCTGGAGTGAGTTTCTGGTAGTAACCAAAAGTGGCAGCAAAGTTACATCGGACCAAGACATTGTCAAAGAACAGCACTTCCAAGCAAAGCACAGTGGTTAGGAGTGTTTTACACTGTATGACTGGAGACCCAGTCAGGAAACAATAAAATCACTTCATGTTTATACCCCAGATTTGAGATTCCTCGGTAAACCAGTTGTACTACTTTTCCAATCTTACCTCTCAACACATTTCCATAATCCTGGCACTTCACTGTATTTTACTAGCCCAACCAGTCTAACTCTAGATTCCCCCAACTTGCTTATTACCATTTCAATTGCTTTGTTCTCAACTAGAATGTTCTTCCTTTCGGTTTATCTAAAGCCTGTGTTTAAAGGACCAATTCTAATGTCACATCTTCCTCCAAATTTTCTCTCATCACAAAGAACAGTCTCTCAGGATAAATTTTAAAACACCGCATTTATACTCATCAAGCACATAGAGCCTTTCTTGTGACCTTTTTGAAGAGGCAGCATTTAGCCTTTTAAATGACCTTTGTACTTGCATGAAAATGGAACTTCACTCTTAACTGAATCAAACTCTAAAGTCTCATGCAATATAACAGTAATAAGTAAATCTAACAAACATATTCTCTACTACATTTACTCTCATTTTTACAAATGCTCTTCAGTGGTTATAAAAATGAAGATGGGGTCAACTGGGTTCATACACCAGTGATCTAGGGAGCAAACAGCATTTAGTGGATGGGAAACAGGTTGTAAGATGACAATGTGCAAGACAGTATAGAAAAACAAAACTGTGTCATCCTGCTGGATATTCATTTAGATTTAAAAAGTTGTTTATTTGGTTACCTAAGCTTAGAATCTGTTTTACGTGTCCTTCTCCTGTAAATTAAGGA